GAACACCCGGTTTAAATGGTTTTATTTTAATAAAACTTGGTGAATGTATTTATCTTACTGTAAATAACAAGTGAAAAAATGTTCAGCCTTAACAGTTGGACATTCCGGTTTTTATACTGTTTTTTTTTAATTCACTAACGCTCTAAAAATGAATATTTCAGCCGCAGTAAAGAATCAACGTTGGCGGATTTTGGTTCTTGACATCCTTTACGATCGGTTACGATGCCTAGAGTACGGGGACCTGTACGATTTCGTCAACCTAGTGAGTTTGATAGGGGCCGTATAGTGGGACTTCGGGAAGCTGGACTTTCTTTTCGGGCAATTGCAGTTAGAGTGCAAAGAAGTGTAAACACTGTGGTTAGGTGTTGTCAGGCATGGCTTCGAGAAGGCCGTACGCAAAGAGCAAGGGGCACTGGACGCCGCCGTGGAACAACAGACCGTGAAGATCGCCGCCTAAGATTATTGGCCTTAAGGGACCGTTTCTCCACTACCAGGTCCATTGCAAATGAATGGTTTGCAGAACACGGAAGACCTATTGGCATGCGAAGTGTTTACCGACGAATGAGAAGTTTTGGCTTGTTTTCATACCGGCCACACTGGGTCCTCCCTTTAACTCGAGAACCCCGACGTAATTGCCTTGAGTGGTGCAGACAACGGTCACTCTGGGATCAGGAATGGAACAGTATTGTCTTTAGTGACGAGTCTCGATTTTATTTAGGCATGCACGATGGTCGTGCCAGGGTTAGAAGGCGACGTGGTGAAAGGAGGAATCCACAGTTTTTTGTTGAAAGACATGTTCATCACACTGTTGGAGTTATGGTTTGGGGTGCTATAGCTTATGGTTCCAGGTCACCTTTAATCTTCATCAGAGGTAACATGAACGCGCAGCGTTATATCCACGAAGTTCTAGAACTCCATCTTTTACCCTATCTTGACACCCTGGCAGATTCAACTTTCCAACAAAATAATGCCCGACCACATGTTGCAAGAGTCACAATAGACTTCTTTCAACATAATGATGTCACATTGTTACCATGGCCACCAAGATCTCCCGACTTATCCCCAATTGAGCACGTGTGGGATATGATGGGTAGGAGATTGCTCAATTTGCAACGTCCTCCTCAGACTTTAGAAGCACTTCGAGAGGAGTTGGTGGTTGCCTGGAATGAGATACCACAGGAGGACATTGACCACCTGATCAGAAGCATGCCTAGGCGCGTTGGAGAATGCGTAGCACATCAGGGTGCATCCACACATTATTAAAGGTCAAAGGGCTTTAAAGCAGTGCAATCATTTTGAGATTTTTATCATTTACTTATTATGCTTCATTAAGTACTTATACAAAATTTTATTAAAATAAAACCATTTAAACTGGGTGTTCGGATTTATATGTCACTTAGTATATTTACAGTAAGATAAATATATTCACCAACTTTTATTATAATAAAACCATTTAAACTTGGTGTTCGGATTTATTGGTCACTTAGTATATTATTTATCTTCCTAAATGGCTTATGATTTATATTGGCAAGGTAAACACGTGTATTTTGCTATTAAATGCTCTTTGAACATATCCTGTATATTGCTCAATAAACTAGTAGTGATGACCGGAAAACAGGTGTTTTGGGATAAAAAGTTAGAAATTCTCACACTGACCAATATACTAAAATTTTGTTGTCATTATTTAGAAGTATTAATCCTACAGTTTAGAAAATTTTCAAGTAGTTGGGTGGAATTATCGGCGCATTACTAACAAGTGTCAAAACCTGCATTTCGGCCATTTTGTAGGTCTCATAAATACCTAAAAATCTTACACTTTCGGTTGAACCCCAAAAAACACGTTTTCTCATTATGTGTTGTCAAATAAAAAGTTTTCCCACAAAAATTGATATACCCATTTTATGCGTCCAAGTTTTAAATACCCCGTTGAACAACTTGCACCAATGAAACCACACTTTACAATTATTTCGGGGAAATTAGCTAATATGATTAGACTAATGCTCTTCGGGTTAACGTTAATTATTGTTTTAGGACAAAGTTGACATTGAAAAACGCATTTTGGGATAGAACTTCGGGTCTAACTTGTAACATACGGAGTAATGCTAGTATATCGTGTTTGAAACCTGCATGGAACACAATATCTCGCATTAGTACTAGTTACTAGTAAATTAACTCGTAATCGTTATGGAATATTGCCATGAAAGTAATTTTATTCGTCATTATAATGTCCCAGGAGTCCAATCAATTTTTCCAGCGATATTCTATTTGATTATCATTAAATGCAGAGACGAGTAGAGTATAACATACGAAACAAGGAAATAGTTAGCCCATGCTACAGAGAATAAAAATAGGTATTTTGTGTAAAAAAGTTTAGCAGATATCTGAAAGTTTTAAATGGAAGGAAGGGTCTTTCTAATGACAAATACATAAAAAGGTACAGCCAGATATGCTTTATTTTTTATAAACAATGGGAAAAGCTCAAAATTCGGTATTTTGCTTGTATAATTTTCAAATTGAATTTTATAAATAATCAGTAAACTGGAGATTTTAGTGCATAAAAAGACCTTCAACTTTATTTTTTAAGAATTGCAATCCATAGACAAGCTAAATATGGGGCTTTTTAGCAGTATTGAATAAACAAATGTTCTTGCCCAATATATCGTCCTAGAACATTTTACAAAAGTGAAATGGATTCGTGAAGATCTTCAAGAATTTATGCAAAAAATAATTATTTCAAAATTGTTGTTAAAAATGATGTTAAAAAATGACCGTTTTTATAGTTATAAACATTTATAATAACATCGTTATTTTTCAATACAATTTATTTTGACAAGTTGATCTGGATAGCTGGTTGAAAACGCATATCTTAAAAAAACCGTTTACGAGGAGTCAAGATAAATTTATTTTTAAAATTCGTATCTTTGTTCATAAACATGAAGACTCGAAATTTTCACAGATTTTAATCAAGGATCTTAATTTTATGATCCAATTTATAATTTTACTATTGGTTCAAAGGTCTTTAAGAAATAGCCTCCTGAAGTGAAGATACTCGCGTAAGTATTTCCGGGTGGGGTGGTGGGCTAACTAGCTCTCGCTCGATGTATTTTTTGAAATTGGAGTGCGCTATGAAATTTTGCATTATCTTGGCTTCTAAGCAATGACGTCTGAACATTTTCATTTTCCTGGAAAATCGATAAATTCCGGAAAACTTGACACGATTTATTCTTCAAAATAAAATTACGATGAAATAATAAAAGAACAATAAAACTTTTACTTTCACTATAATAAAATAATTTGTATTTTACAATAAAATTGTTTAAACAATTCATAATTCAGTTAAATACTCTTAACAAACTACACTCTAATAAATTGTAAAAAATATGATGATTAAAGTTTGTATTTCTTTGCATTCTCTGTTATAATAATATCATACACGGTGATTCGCAAATCGTGACCAAAAATAAAAGTTTAGCAATCAAATTTGTTCAGACAAATATCTGTATGATGTCTAACACTACCCTTAATCTTGTACTAAATTTAGCACGAAGTGTCGTATCATGACAGACGTTCTTTACACATAAACACGAATTGATACAGCACCGTTGTTTCATCCACTTTCAGAAAATGTTTCTATTAATTTAGCACAGACAGTCGACATTGTAGTTGTATCTGCAGGCATGACTGTATGTTTTATATCGAAGAGTAATAAGGGTAAACTGAAATCGCACACTCTAGACAAGCAAGTTGACATACTGAAAGTGACAAGTATGAATGTGGAAGATTCGTACTTTGACTGAAAATGTTTCAGGGGTGTGAGACAAAACTTCAAAACGTATGGCTGAGAGCTTATACAAACAAACGCCCACGCATAGCTCATGTAGTATTACTGTGACCCGCCAAAAACCATGGAAATACCTATATATACAGGGTGTTTCATAACTTATCCCACAAATTTTAACCACATATTTTATGCACTGTTACGAAAGAAGTTTACTTCTCAAAAAATGCAATAAAAATCCTACAGAAATTAAGTTATAATTATAAGCCTGAGTTTCAATAATAAATTGAAAAATAAATATCAGTATTTTGCGTTCATCGTAGAAGACGTATTAATAATGTATTGCAGCAAAACAAAATACCACGAATTTTTTGTTTTTGCATTCTGATAAGATCGTGTGAATAAGGTTTAATCTGTATCGTGGGTGATCTGAATGAAGAACGGTCGATTTTTGTGAAGTTAAATAAGAAAGAATTTTGCAAGTTTATGCTTTTTGTTATTTATTGATAAAAATGGCACATGTGTACACTAATGAGAAGTCAGTGAACATTGTTTTAGCGTACGGAGAAGCAGGGCAAAATTCGCGAACGGCTTCTCGTCTGAATTAGGTATACCAGATACGCTGGATCGGAACGGGTGGACCAAATTGCATGGCCTCCACGGTCTCCCGATCTAAATGCTCTGGATAGTTGAAAAACGAGGTATACCGTACTCCAGTTTAGAATATTGAAGAATTGCGTGACCGAATCACAGTGGCTGCCGATAATTTGAACCTTGAGGCTGCATTTGAATTGCAGGGTCGAAATTAGATTAGACGCGGCCAAGCTTGCATTGCAGTCAATAAAAGCAATTTTGAACAGCTTTTATAAGTAAGTGAACTGTTAAACTGTATTATTTTATTAATTCAATTTCTGTAGGACATTTATTACATTTTTTTGAGAAATCAACTTCTTTCGTAGCAGGTGGTTAAAATTTGTCGGGTAAGGTGTGAAAATAAAGATCTCTGAATAGATGCATATTCACCAAAATATACCAAAATCTGTGATTTTAATGCCTAAACTACTTTCATATTTGTCTAGCGACCCCAGTAGGGGATGGAAAGATTATATTGGAACTCCCAGCACACACCACATTTTGTGGGCCTGTGAAACCTGTCCTGCAAGGGTGAAGGGAACAAAACACAAGATTATATTTGACATTTTATTATTAACCAAAAAAATTACTTTGGTACATAAGCTCTTAAAAAATCATAGTGTGAAAATGGCAAAAACCCTTATATAAAACACACTAAATCATCGTGATGTCACAATAGAAAAAAACAATAAAAAAGGGAAAAAATGTGTACAAAAGATTAGTTACAAGTAAATATAGTAAACATTTAAATGTTGGAGCAATTAATAGAGAGTAGTGTGGATATACAACTAGATAGTTTAAGAGAGATTATATTATTTAATTCTCACTTATGTCTAATGGATTATATAATTATAGCACACATACGATGATACATTTTATCAATGGCTTTTTCAACCATTATCACAAAAAATAAGACGTCATTTGTCGTATCTCCTCCTTTTCGAGCAACCGGTCTTCTAAGTTTTTAGGAGGTATTACGTGAATATGATGGCAATCTTAAGATCCTCTATTTATATCAGGTGGAAGGTGAACTTTAAACAGATAATTTCCCATTCAGAATTGATGGCTACAAGATGATCATTCAAAATATTTTTACTAGAATGTATAATTCACCCATTAACATCTTGAGACTAGTGCCATATCTCCCACGTTTTCAGTTCAAGATCGAAATGTTACAGGGTTTTCCCAATTTTGTGGATTATACTTTGACATATTGTTTAAAGTCTTAACTTGTCATGGAAAAGTTCTCTGTAAAAAGCTATTATGAAAAGAACGCAGGGCCTATTGTAACTACTTAGGAACTTGGAATATCTAAGTACGTTGACATATTGTGGGCTTGCCCGGGCAAATGTGGCTATAAGAAGCAGAACAGAAGAAAATATGCATAAATAAGCTAAAAAATACCACTCTGCACCTGGTGAGCTATCAATATGTCAACACAAAATAAATCGTTTAAAATGCCATCACATGGATCGTATTTTTTAAATACATTCCTAAACCTACATGTTTATATTTCCTTTGTACGTGTTTCGCAATCAACAAGCAATGTTCCGACAGCATGGAATCTATAAGTTGTGGTGGTACAAACGATTGTGTTATCTTTTAAACTCGGCATATGTACAGATTTTCATCGCATACTCTTGACTTCGGAACTTCCATATTGTTGAGTCCCATAGTCGGTAAACCCTTATGGTTTCTGCATACTATTACACATCGAGATTCCCTCCAGTTATTACTTGTTGGTTGAGAAATACCGTGTACAATTCTAAGCATTTGTTGAGTATTGGAGGAAAATTACACAAGGATGGTTCTCAGCTAAATTTGATAATTTCAATTTGTTACCCAGCTATTATAATTATTAGGTATAATGCTCTCGCCTTTAACATCTAGTTTACATGCATTAAATTCAGAGACACTGATATTATATCCTATTACAGTATTTGCAACTGAGTTTTTTATTTTTCGCTACTAGAAATCATAAGTGGCCGTATGACTTTAGTAAGTACCGATAATATTAAGCAATTATATACCTACAGCAAAGGTATTCTTAATACATTGAGCATCACATACAGCGCAACATAAAAGGAAAAATCGCGGTGTTTCAAGTTGACCTTGATGCCACCTGAGGGCACGTGTTCGTCCGTTTTTGGTATTGGATAACTCCAAGTCAAGCGAAGTATGGTTTTTGAATATGCATTATAACCAAAAGTCTAAAACGCATTTCTGGAAAAAAATTCTTTCAATGTGACCGAATAAGTCAAAAAACGGTCAAAGAAGGTACTTAATTATATCCCGTACAAAAAGTATAATCGTACTTTCAATGTACTGCAATACAGATATAGTTTTGAAACACGCTACGAATTTTGATTGAAGGTACCATTCAGTCATATTGCCACTTATAGCGTTACAATATATATTTTTTTAATCAGCAAATAGCATTTTATACAAAGTTGGCGATGCACAACCATCTGACACTTGTACATATTACATTTAAAAATAATTAAACCATATTTTATCGCCAACGCACCTACTGAGAACGAAACATTGAAAAAACCTATAAAACAGCCTAATAAGCAAAAAGAGATAAATATCTGTACAAAGGTTTAGCCTACAGCATGATGGTACTCGCATAAAGCTGCGCGCCCACTGAGGCGAAGCGACGCGAAGAGATCAATTACAAATGTTCGCATATTTCTGGTGCGCGGTTCTCAGTTGGCTATGTTTAAAGGAAGCCAATGGAAAAATTCGTGACTCTCCGCTAAAATTCTTCCTCCTCCATGGGCGTACACCTTAAGTGGTATCTACTACAGAGCGGACATTTACCATAAAGTTTTCCAAAAAGGTTGATGTTTCCTACTCAAAATTTATAATTGCAGTCAAATGATTCCATTTTGTAGAAAAATACGCGACGTACAAAAAATGAGCTATTCTTACACAGTGATACTGACTCCCTGTTTCAATTAGATTCACATTATACTCGAAAAAGCTTTTTGACCTTTTTTGTGTATCTCAGAACCTTGACTTTATAGCGATATCGTTCATCATAGCAGGGTTTTCAGTATGCTTTGATGTTTATTCTTGAGATATTATTCTAGTGAAATCTAGAAGCACAAATAAAGAGTCTAGTGCTCTCAGGGTGACTGCTTAAGCTGCAATTCAAACCGAGATTTACATCTAAAATGACGTTCACTTGTGCTGATTCAGCAATCCAAAATTTGGAGCTACAAAAACATGCAATGGAAGACTTCAAACACCATCAAACGAACAAATAATCTGTAGAGTATGTAAATCCATACAAATCGTGGTCCACTCTGGTTTCAAACAGACGTCGCTTCCTCATTATTTTTGGCACCTCATGTGTAGACCGAGGAAAAAATCTAAAATGCAACGCTAACTCATTCTCGTAATAAGAGCGCCAAAGACCAAAACAAATAAAATACATAAACGTTCACAAACCACAAAATATCACATGACACATTGAGCCACTGTACAAAAAGAGAAATTAAATAAGAAATCCTAAACGTATCCTATATCGGTGTACGCTTGTCAGCGGCTCCGGTTTAGCCCCCCTTTTCGTATTTGCCCCCTTTTCGCAAAGGAAAAATTACAGTAGCGTAAATCCTTAAATATAAATCACACCGATTCACGGGTACAGTGATCTAGATTTTTTGCTGTTGTGGTCTACAAAAATATCAGTAATATAGGAGCAGTCAAAGCAATGAACCAAAAGGCTCTTTTTATCAACTGAAAAATCTCAATAACAATAATAGTAACAAAAAATATCTCTTGGTATTCTGCTGCAGCTTCATACTACTTCATTATCTCCTGACACACATTTGTGTTTTGAGATGAGAAGAAATTTTCCAACATGAATGATTCGTCAATTAAGTCTCTTAATTATAATTGAGTATGAAGCATTCGGTAACATCATTAGTTGATTAATATCATTCTTGAGTAAAAAAGCAAATATCTAGACCACTATGCAATTGGAATCGATGTCAATTTTGCGGCCGATTCACTGAACACCTTAAGCAAAGCGAAGATAAGAAGTATGGCCACGATCCAACGCGCAATGTTGTGTTCCAATTCATAAATTGTGGAAACCAAGGAACGGTGTCAGTCTCAGAGATTGGTCAGTCTCCAAGGATTTGAGATTGCGCTAGAGGAGTCTGTGTCATAGAATTTATCAGGAATTATACAATGATGTAACAGAACATACTAGTAGGACGAAAAACATGTACGTAGCAAGAAATTAGGCTAAAAAAATAATGTCCAAAATACCTAGAAGTAGCATCTTACTATTTTGTGTCACTAGATGCTTTTAAAAATATTTTAAATTCGCAAAGTTGTTATCACTTAAAGATAAACCTTGATAAATTCTTTACAAACGTATAAGACCCTCTTGACAAGTATTATAGTGCAGTTGAACCATACAGGTTTGGCAAAACCTGTCGACTGACCTACGTGTATATCATTTAGCGTTCAGAATGTCGGCCGTATGACTGATGATGACTCCACGGAACGTCTTCGGTGCTGGCCGCGACGATTATCAGTTGTCAGTGCTTACAGGTTACACTGCCATAGTATCATCGCGGGCTGCGAACCGTCCGCCGTTTGCTGCGCAGGCTTGCCCTGTTTCGTTTCTGGACAAAGCAAAGTCGTTATTCGATTTTGATATAAAATAGCTGATATTATGGTATTCAATCTGTTTGCTGCAAAGCTGTTCTTTATTTTAACAGGCGAGGCCTTTTTCGCTTGAATAGTCTTGGCATGTTCAAGGAAGCTCTCAGATTGGAAAAGCTCACCTTCTTTGATACTTGACTCGCTCCCATCACTTCCAAGTGACGAGAGTAATGCCTCGTGACAGTAACGAAGCCGCATCCGCATTTGGCACTCAATGAAAGCAACTGCTGCATACTGTGTAATATCTAAAGGTCATTAGAGACCTTAACGCCTTAATCTAGTGCCAACGAGCTGATACATACAGGGTGGCCCAACGAAAAGGTACAATACAGGGTGATCCAAAGATAAGATGTTGCGATACACTTTAGATTTTTAAATCGAAACCCCAATTTTTCCATGAAGCTTTTAGCACTCAACTTTTAATAATAAAGATTATATCTGTCATCAATCGTTGGGAAGCTATTTGAGTTTATGATAAAATTAGACTAACTTGACTTAATATGGATAATAATCGAATACACGCCAAAAAATAATATATACTAAGTGACATATAAATCCGAACACCCAGTTTAAATGGTTTTATTTTAATAAAAGTTGGTGAATGTATTTATCTTACTGTAAATAACAAGTGAAAAAATGTTCAGCCTTATCAGTTGGACATTCCGGTTTTTATACTGTTTTTTTTTTAATTCACTAACGCTCTAAAAATGAATATTTCAGCCGCAGTAAAGAATCAACGTTGGCGGATTTTGGTTCTTGACATCCTTTACGATCGGTTACGATGCCTAGAGTACGGAGACCTGTACGATTTCTTCAACTTAGTGAGTTTGATAGGGGCCGTATAGTGGGACTTCGGGAAGCTGGACTTTCTTTTCGGGCAATTGCAGTTAGAGTGCAAAGAAGTGTAGACACTGTGGTTAGGTGTTGTCAGGCATGGCTTCGAGAAGGCCGTACGCAAAGAGCAAGGGGCACTGCACGCCGCCGTAGAACAACAGACCGTGAAGATCGCCGCCTAAGATTATTGGCCTTAAGGGACCGTTTCTCCACTACCAGGTAAATTGCAAATGAATGGTTTGCAGAACACGGAAGACCTATTGGCATGCGAAGTGTTTACCGACGAATGAGAAGTTTTGGCTTGTTTTCATACCGGCCACACTGGGTCCTCCCTTTAACTCGAGAACACCGACGTAATCGCCTTGAGTGGTGCAGACAACGGTCACTCTGGGATCAGGAATGGAACAGTATTGTCTTTAGTGACGAGTCTCGATTTTGTTTAGGCATGCACGATGGTCGTGCCAGGGTTAGAATGCGACGTGGTGAAAGGAGGAATCCACAGTTTTTTGTTGAAGGACATGTTCATCACACTGTTGGAGTTATGGTCTGGGGTGCTATAGCTTATGGTTCCAGGTCACCTTTAATCTTCATTAGAGGTAACATGAACGCGCAGCGTTATATCCACGAAGTTCTAGAACCCCATCTTTTACCCTATCTTGACACCCTGGCAGATCCAACTTTCCAACAAGATAATGCCCGACCACATGTTGCAAGAGTCACAATAGACTTCTTTCAACATAATGATGTCACATTGTTACCATGGCCACCAGGATCTCCCGACTTATCCCCAATTGAGCACGTGTGGGATATGATGGGTAGGAGATTGCTCAATTTGCAACGTCCTCCTCAGACTCTAGAAGCACTTCGAGAGGAGTTGGTGGTTGCCTGGAATGAGATACCACAGGAGGACATTGACCACCTGATCAGAAGCATGCCTAGGCGCGTTGGAGAATGCGTAGCACATCAGGGTGCATCCACACATTATTAAAGGTCAAAGGGCTTTAAAGCAGTGCAATCATTTTGAAATTTTTATCATTTACTTATTATGCTTCATTAAGTACTTATACAAAATTTTATTAAAATAAAACCATTTAAACTGGGTGTTCGGATTTATATGTCACTTAGTATAATACCAGCAAGAACATTTAGCATCGGCGAGCGTCATCGTTTCCCATTTCAAATTGTTAAGTTACCTACCTAGTTGAGAGTTGAGAATATTGAACCATGACTTATTCAATTGAAGAAAGGGTAGAAATAACGAGACTGTATTACCGAAATGGGAGCATTGCAGGAGCTACTGCCCGGTTGTTTAATGCGTTACATCCAGACAAAAATATTGACGATAAGTATGTGGCTTAGTTGATTGGAATATATGAAGAAACTGGTGTCTAATATTCGCCGTAATCGCCATCGAGAAATTCGGCCAGTTAGAAATAAAGCCCCAGAAATAGCAGTTTTGAGAGACGTAGCACTTGACAATACCCAAACCACTCCAGGTCTGGCTACTTCTTAAGGATTTATACACTCAATAGTACAAAGAATTTTGAAAGACGATAAATTTCACCCGTACAAGATTTGTCCATGCGCTTAAAGAAGACGATTTTGATAGAAGGTCGCAGTTTTGCAAATTAATGTCCAACGTTTAATCAACAAGGCAAATCCGTTATTCAGTATTTGTTTCTCGAATGAGTGTCCGTTCTATTTACATGGTGCTGTGAATAGACATAGTTCCTGGAAACTTGACGTACTTGGACATGTTATAAAATACAATAGAGCCACGAATTACCAAAATAATAGAAGATGACGTTATTATAATGAAAATTACATTCATTTCCAACAGGGTGGTGCATTTTCCGAATCAGTGGATCTGGAGATGAGGCCCCTTCGTGTGGCCGCCGAGATCTCCAGACCTAAGTCTTTTAGATTACTATCTTTAGGGGCATTTGAAAAGTAAAATTTCTAGTACTAAGCCAAATTCCATTCAAGGTTTTCTTTAGCGGATTACGGCTGAATGTAGACAAATAACTCAAGGCATGCTTGAAAATGTGAGGAATAGATTAGAACAAAATCTTTATTATTGCTTGGAGGTAAATGGACACCACTTTCAGCACTTATTACCACATTGATCTTCCTCGTTATAGCAAATTAATTTTCACCTAAACTTCAATGTGCTGTTAGTTGTTTTTTGTTTTTTTTGATTTTTTTTTTTATTATTATTTTTACCTTACCTTATTATCACAATTTCTAGAACTGTATTATAAACTCAAATTGCTTCTCAACGATTGAAGATAGGTATGAACTTTCTTGTACAAAATCTACCGAACATGGAAAATCAAAAAATTAAAAAATAAATGGTTTCCGTTTACAAATCTAAAATGTAACGCAATATCTGATTTTTCGACTAGCCTATATTCTACGGCTATAGATGAAAAAACGTCTCCCTAGAAATCAAATTTGTCAAGTCCGAGCGTTTTCCCCAAAGTATATACCAGGAGAGTCACAAATGGGGGTGCGACCTATTCGTTGGACACCCTGTATACTTTTTTCACTCGAGTATATCTTAAGATATCGATTTTCAGGATGTTGACAGACTGTTTTTATTACTTTTACTCACTTTTTTCCCTGAAATGCTCATTTCTCTCATTATTTTAGGATGTTCCTCAATGCAGAGCCCCTTAGATGTTCAGTTCCACAAAATATTGCAATAAGTCAAACATTCAATACTTGGTGAATACTGGGAGCTGCATATACCCATTTTTTCATTTTTCCAATCGCTGATACTCGCTTTCAAAAGCGCTGCTAAGTTAGGCACTCCAAATTTACCACCCCTCCCCTCCCCGCTCTTCAATTTTCAATTGCCAGCAAACTAAGCGATGGAGCATTTTCAATCATATAAATGAAATGAACAGAAAAAGCTTCCGCTTCTTCTTTTTTACCCGGACACCATGTTGGCGAGCTCGTAGCTATTTAGCTAACAGATTGAAACCAAGTAGTATTGCTAGTTTGAGGAAATGAAGATAAAACAGTGCACAAATGGTTACGGTGGCTAAAATATATTTTTTCGTGTTTAGTGTTTCTCGAATTCAAAAGTATCCGATGTACTTCATCAATTTATTACCAAATGCATTGACACAGCAATAAATTTCTTACCATGACAGAAAGTACTATTTTCTGCGTGTGGTAATAATATCGGTCAAGGTGCATTTGCTCGAAAAATCAAAATTGCTAATCGATCGTTTTTCCTCTACCCGAATTATTTAATTCAATTTACTGTCTAAATATCCACAAAAGCAGGTTACCTTTGGTGCAAAAAGGTGTCAGATTTTATAGTTTGGAGATAATTGGCCTCAGTTTAAATCCCGACATTTCTTATTGAATAGTGTTAGGGCTGCTTTTATTATTGAAGGTTATTTTAGACACATAGAAAAGTATCTCGAATATACAGTTTTGTTGAAAAAATGCTTTTATTATCTGAAATTTGAAAAAGATTGTTGAAAATCTCACTTAACACCTTTTTATGTTATTGGATGGGTCCGTAAAATGAAAGTAGCAAAATGATGTAATTTATTAAAAGTAAACATTGTTCTTTTTTCTTATTACAAATTCACAAAAGTAATAACAAATAATCCACAAAATGTAACTAATCGTCTCCTCTTCTTAAATTTTGATAAAAGCCTCTAAAATTTGATGGTATTAAAGTAATTTGTTTCTGAATATTATCAAACTTTTTGGCTTCGATCGACATTCAATAATAATGGTTCATTTTATACTCTTCTATCGAGATTTTGCTGTTTCTTTATATCAAGAATAGTCCAACTTTCCGTTTCATTAAAAGATTATCAGTACTTGGTTATACCAAATTCTTCAATTACGTCTCTGAATGAGAATTTTTCATTTGTTGTAGTTTTTGTGTATCGACTAGTTCAACTTTTCTTGGAAGTTCTTTAATATCAACAAATTTGTCCGCCATTCTTGTAATCTTAAAATGTGTTTTTTCTTAGCTTCTGCCATGATTAAAATATATTGATCCAACGTATAAATTAGTTGGTGCTTTCTGATAGACTTTTTTACAGCTGCAATATCTCCAGCAGAGTCCATGAAGGTCCTACTTCAGGAAACTTATGGTGATTTCTTTTAACACTCCAGAGATTATTAGATAGTGCTGACAGACAAAATAAAAATTTTCATTTCGGCCACCTGCCGAATCATTCCATGCAATCAGATGAACGGAAGCCATGCCTTGGTCCTTGATTTTCCAAAAAGATCACAAGTTAGCTTGCAATCTCTTCAGAACCGCGATTTCATTGGTCTTCTGTCCAGACGCGGTAGACCCACACTTGAAAATAGAAGGCTTTACTTGTAGAATTTTCGGCAAGGGAAGCGTTTTTTGTAAATCAAATGTGAGGTATATGATTTTTTCGTTTGTTTTTGATATTCCTCGATCAGATTTTTGTACGCCAAGCTTTTTTATACTTTGCAACATGTTCCTCCTTCGATTCTACATCGCAAACAATTTTACATTTTAAACGAAAACTAAATTTTATTCTTGAGTTAACACATTTTGACCTATAATGCAAGAGTTAACATCTTTTAAAGTTTGCAGATTGAAGTTTTTGATACAGTTAACATATGAGTGTCTGTATCTAAGAACTGAGAACCATCTTTGGCCGGATAGATGTACTACCGAAAAAGCACCCTTTTTGCGCAACAAATCTTAAAATCCGAGAAAATTGAGTTAACATCTTTTTGCACCAAAGTCTTTACCTTATTTTTTGGAAAGTATGTAGAATTTTCATAGCCTGCGAAGTGTCATTGCATTTTTATAATCACATATAAAAAAATAAGAACAAGCATATCACTTAAAATAAAATAAAGCAACCATTTATGCAAAATAGAAAAAGTCATCGCACATTTTGCAGAAACAATAAAAAAAGTCCATGTCATTATCCCCAAAGAAGTGCTCTTATATTAAACACAGAAACACGTGTTAATCAAACCAAAACACAAAAAATAGTTAAACCAAACACATAAAAAGCAAAATCGAGCAAGTAACTTACAGTTTCCTGTTTGAGAGGGTTCATTGAAACAGATCAGTTAAGTTATACATGTTGACAAAAATGATGCATCAGGGATATGGAATGGGCACAACTTTTCTGCATTGAACGTAAACACGGTGCCAGTTTTTTAACGTTTGGTGCAATTGAAATATAGTAGCAACACAGTTTCTGCCAATTGTTCAAATTAGTTGAGGGGCACTATAAAATGCAGAAACGTTAAACATTTACGTTATGATATGAGATGCTCGGAAATGCAAGATTTTCTTTAATGATACAAAGTGTTGACAAAGCGACAAAACTAACAAGCAATTGATATATTTCAAGGTATAGGAAGCACATATAGCCATTCTGTATTCGCATATGATTTTTGAACTTGAATTTCTCCGTCGAACTCACCAGTGTTGATATAATTTAGATTCGGCAAAGCGAAAAAATGCTCGCTTACAAAGGTTACTCCAGAAATCACGATCAGTTCTCATATCGAAACCACAGTTGTCTCTTGTATCAGTCTGCATGAATTGACAACTATATTGGCCCATGCTTGGTATTGCTTACTTCGCAAAATACCCTTTGGTATGTCCTTACGACACAAACTTTCATATATACTATACAGGGTGACTTTGAAGTTGAGTCATTAATTTTCAGATAATGATTGTAGAAGGAAGATAAACCAAAATATGTGTGTAAAAATAAAAAAAAAATAAAAAAAAATTTTTACCTTGTTTTATAAAGTATCCTCCCGACAAGTATTTCAGTGCGGACCTGTATTTGATCGTGAGGTCCCCTCTGAGGTCTTAAGTCACCTGATTCACGAGCCCGTTGTACTACATTAACAAAGGCACGAGGGGTTGGTTGCACTCGATTGGGAAACCGATCCGCATAAACATGTGCCATTTTTTATTTCGTTTGAGCCACGCAACAGATACCACCATTCACTGACACTGATTGTATACAAATGAATGAGATACTTGTAAAAACATCGTTCCAAATTCTTTCGCTTTTTTGTTTCCGATGCGATGAACCGATACGGCGGATTATATCCGTTGTCGCCAAACACGACCACATAATATTGTTATTGAGACAGGGCGGTACTCAAACTTCCAAAGGGCTATAACTTTGTTACTTTAATTTTACCAGAAAAATGGTAAAGGAAAAAAACATTTCTTTTGATCAGATCTACTCACTGTTAAAATTAATGACTCAACTTCAAAGTCACCCTGTATATATATATATACAGGGTGTTTCAGTTTATTGTTGCATAACTTTATGATTCGATAGAACTTTTAAAATTAATGCATAAAGTCTATATAAACATGGGTCGAAAAATGAATGGCTTCCGAAATACAGGCTGTTTAAATTTACTTTCTAAAATAGTTTTTTGTAAATATTTGGAACAATATTTGATGTATAACAGTGAAAATTGGTATACAAGAGTTTTTTGGTACGGCAAAACGAACCATAGTTTTACTGTAGCCGCTAGAGGGCGCTCTCTACTGTACCTGTAGTGTATTAAAATGACCAAAAAAATTTTCTTAGTGCAATTTTTTGCTTTTTGAATAAAAAAACTGATTCTTCGCACTTTTCAACAATTTTCGTTATAGTCAGCCGTTTTTGGGATATTTCGATTTCTAAGGTTCGATGCATTTTTAATTATTTATGATAAAATAACGTTAAAAAGTCAGTATCTCGATAATTTTTAGAAGTAGGCTGTGCCTGCAACTATTTTTGAAATTGAAAGCAGAATAAGGTTAAACGTCAATTAGTTGACAGTTAGTTTTGTTGTCTGTTGAAACCTGAAACGTTTTTTTGCAACTGTAAATGCACGAAATTTAGTTTCTTTTACCTGTGTTTTTTTTGTAAGTTTTATAAAAATGCCATTTTTATTCTCCAATCAAGAGTTAGCGGATATTCATTTTGTGTATGGCTTTGTAAATGGAAACGCAGCAGAAGCAGCCAGAGAATACGCACGAAGATTTCCAAACATACGACATCCAACTCGCTCAGTATTTGTAAGAGTGCATCGCCAAATAATTGAAAATGGTTTTGGAAATTTCCAAAGGGATCAAAACATAAATGTTCGTCAGCGCAGATTTACCCGTATGATTCTGCGTGAGTTTGATAGAGATCCGACCACAAGTGTTAGGAGAGTTTCTGGTGCCTTGGGAATTTCAGCAAGCCATGTTGGAACCTGTGCAAGGACTACAGCCAGGGTACGGAGAACGAAGAATCACATTTTGTCAGTGGATTCTTGATAGAACTGATAATAATAGGGAGTTTTTAAGTAAAGTTTTATGGACCGATGAGTCATGCTTCACTAGACGTGGAGTGGTAAATTTTCATAATCAACATATTTGGTCGCATGAAAATCCGCATGCAGTTCGGGAAAGAAATTTTCAGCATGAATTTAGTGTGAACGTGTGGATTGGTATCTACCGTAATCGACTATTTGGACCCTACCTTTTGCCTGCAAGGTTAAATGCTGCGACCTTCTTGGAATTTTTAAAGGCTGAACATGCAAATATGTGGGATGATGTTATGTTATATTTAAGAAGATTGGCCTGGTTCCAGCTTGACGGCTAACTATAACGAAAACTCACAGGAGAGCTTTTTTATGCAGAAAAGTGCGAAGAATCAGTTTTTTTATTCAAAAAGCAAAAAATTGCACTAAGAAAATGTTTTCGGTCATTTTAATACACTACACGTACAGTAGCGGCTACGGTAAAACTATGCCCATGGTTCGTTTTGTCGTACCAAAAAACCCTTGTATACCAATTTTCACTGTTATACATCAAATATTGTTCGAAATATTTAAAAAAAACTATTTTAAAAAGTAAATTTAAACACCCTGTATTTCGGAAGCCACGCATTTTTCGACCCATGTTTATATAGACTTTATGCATTAATTTTAAAAGTTCTATCGAATGTTAAAGTTATGCAACAATAAACTGAAACACCCTGTATATCCGTCGAGTTCCTGGACATTTTGTATCACTGAATATTATCCAAAATCTTGCATAGCGAGTAAATGATTGATCGTCATCAACAATATGGTTACGTGAGGTGGAGGGACACAAATGAAGCAGTTGTACGTATATTTACTGACCTCTCAATCAGTTTTCGCATCTCTTCGTGTGTCATGCCATCCTTAGAGTTACCTCTCAAGACTGGAAAATAAATGATACTTAAATCTACACGACCACAATATCACAGATTTAGCCTGGAAAACCATATGAATGAACAGCAGTTGAACATACACCTGCCATGAAAGCGTCTTACACTTTAATAGAATTAATTAATGTTATACAACTTATCCGACAAATTTTAACCACATATGCACTGTTACGAAAGAACTTTATTTATCAAAAAAAAAAATGAAAAATAAATGTCTGTATTTTGCGTTTATTGTCGTGATATTAGAACACGCATTAATAATTTATTGTAGCAAATGTTGCACCAAACAACTGTCGAAAACAAAATACCAGGAATTTTTGGTTTTTTCATACTGATAAGAACGTGTAAATGAGGTTTATTCTGTAGCGTGGGTTATCTGAATGATTTTGCGAGTTTATGTTTTTAGTTATTTATTAATAAAAATGGCACATGTGTACACTAATGAGGAGTTTGTTTTAGCGTACGGAGAAGCAGGGCAAAATTCACGAGCGGCTTCTCGTTTGTATGAACACCGATTTCCGAATAGGCACATACCACATCACGAAACATTTAGTGCAATTGTTTTACGTGCACGTGCTAGTGGAGATTTGCACCCCAGACGTGGAGTGGATGGGGGTCGCGTTCGCCCATAACGCGTTTTAAATGCCGAAGACGAAATTTTTGATATTATGGAAGAAAATCCGGGAATAAGCACAAGGCAGTTAGCCCAACGGTCCCAGAAGTGTCACATGCAACAGCGTGACGCATATTACATGAGGCCCAACTGTACCCTTATCACGTCCAGAGAGTCCAGGCGTCGCTACCTACAGACTACCCCCTAAGAGTAAGATTTTGTGAGTGGTTGTTGCAAGAAAATTCTCGAAATGTGTGGGTAGGTATTATCGATGAACGTCTAATTGGACCGTTCCTATTTCCAGATCGGATGGATGGTCAACAGTATTTGGAATTTCTTCGGAATTATTTGCCGGTCCGAGCACGGAAGTGGTTTCTGCACGATGGGGCACCTCCTCATTTTCGTTTAGAAGTTCGTGATTTTTTTGAATCAGGTATAGCAGATACGCTGGATCGGAAGGGGTGGACCAATTGCATGGCCTCCACGGTCTCCCAATCTAGATCCTCTGGACTTCTTTTTATGGGGATACTGGAAAAACGAGTACTCCAGTTCAGAATATCGAAGAATTGCGTGACCAAATCACAGTGGTTGCCGATAATTTGAGCCTTCAGGTACAGCAGGAAGGAGGTGTATTATTAGTGCGCCGAAATTGGATTAGACGCGCCCAAACTTGCATTGCAGTCAACTGCTTTTATAAGTAAGTGAACTGTTAAACTGTATTATTTTATTATCTAGATTTCTGTAGGACTTTTATTACATTTTTTTGTATTAATCCACTTCTTTCGTAACAGTGCATATATGTGGTTAAAATTCGTCGGATAAGTTGTGAAACACCCTGTATTAATTCTAGTAAAATTATTTCACTTTTTCAAACAATGACTTTATGTTTTGAACCCTTTAATGATCTAGACATAGGAAAAAAAACGCGTGGTTTCAACCGCTGCTAAAAAACAATGGAAATATGCAAAATAAAAATAAACCAAAATGATTATTAGTCACAAATGCTGTCATGCGATTAACACTGTATAGAATTCATGCTTATACTATGACGAAAGTCCAGAACTAGGGTAAAAACGTTATACTTTGACAGACAATTCACAAATTAAGCTGAAATTAAGTTAGGCAGATGACTTAGGGTCATGGAAACTATGAGTTCAGAAGTAGGCGTGGAATATATGGTCCTGCTTATTAGTAAAACCGTTGCCCTTTGACGTTTTACTGTCAGTTTTCTAGCATGTAGGCCAGTGTATGTATGTTTTCTGAACTAGACCAACAGGTTTATATCTCAGGAACGAGGAATTAAACCGATCTAATGTACAGACGTCATAGTTTTGGACTTTCGTAAAGACAGTGATATTAACCACACACTGATGAAGTAATCTTTCGAATGATTAATGACCACATGACGATGAAAATGAGTTGAAGAACCTAATCTAAGAGAAAGATCACGCCCACAACTCACTTACCCTTTTCATCTTCTGAAAAATATTCGTTTGTTAATTTCATTCATTTATATTTATTATAGTTAAGAGAAATTTAGATGGTCTTGCATTCCACGTATGACAAATTACATGCTCATTTTCAAAAAGAAATGGAACATGAATTATTATGCTCATTAAGAGCATCTTTTAATTTCAAATTCTGAGTAGACAAGCGCATGACAAAGGCAATATGATAATTGATCATGCATATTATGGGTAAAGCTAGGTTTAACAGTTTAGCAATTTTAGGCATATTTGGAGCTGTTTAGATATGGAAACCGTTCATTTAGTGTGTGTGAGATAAAATGACTCTTTTCAAGTCGGTTTCCATATACTTAACAGCTATCATGAACTAAGAATTCATAACACCACGTACATCTGAAAATCACTCAAGTTCTTGATAGTTAATTTAGACCCGTAGAATTTTATACAATTTATAGGGTTAATATACGTACTTATTAATTCAGGAATTGGAAGTGACAATTATATGATAAGTATTTTGATGCAATGTAGAAAAAAAGAAAAGGATCGGTCGAAAACACGTCCTTGTTACATAAATTTCAAATAAAAGCTTCAGTGATTGAATGGTCTAGATGAATGCGTGGTGGTGTTATAAAACATGTAAAACGAATTCTTTTATAAGGGTACAGAAAAGATATTAATGTTTCTTATTTTCGATCATCACAGTTGTGTTTACCAATGCAATCAGTGTGTTCTTCATGTCATTTCTGGACATTAGTCATCAATACTTCTCACTTCAATGAGATATTTGAAAAAATGTATTCAATAGTATTGTTTTTTCTGTGACGGGAAGAAAGTTTGACATTTTATCTCTGTTGACACGTAACAAAATGTCACTTTTTATGAAATTACTTTTTTCCTCGGAAAAAAATGAGAACGTGCCAATTCAGAAAAATAAGCCAATAACACCGTCTCCGACAAAGAACTGCATGTTTTTTTTCTTCGATGAATCTTGAATACGCGGTGTCGTAAATTTTCCGCGATTTAGCTGGCAATAATTTTTGTGGTGCCACTTTGGCTACTTCTACTAATTCCGGTAGAGTCAAAAAAAACTATGAATCAGACTTTTTTTACTTTATAGTAGTATAGTATTAAAAATAACTTCAAGACAACCACTAAGTTCACAATTTTAAAATTAAGCTACAAAATTAAATTAACAGCTATTTGATTACTTTAAAAGTTTCCTTAGCAACATACAGTAATGGACAAAAGTATATAGACAAATTAATATTGTGCTGTTTCTTTTTTAACTTGTTTTATTAATACACCAACCTATCTACATAATGCATTATAGCATAATACTCACATATACATAAATAAATTCATTAGACTCCCTTCATTACATTTTTTTGTATTAATCCACTTCTTTCGTAACAGTGCATATATGTGGTTAAAATTCGTCGGATAAGTTGTGAAACACCCTTCATTAAAAAATTAATTGAAAAAACTGGAACTATGAAGGACAAACATATATCGACAAAGCAAAACAATCATAGAAAAAAGAAACAAAATTCATTGAATTATAGAAAACCAACCATGTGTGTGTTAATATTTTGTAGCATAACCATTATTATCAATCCCCGCCTGGCATCGACTATGCATAGATTGTAGAAGTTTCTTGATATAAGATTCATCAATCTGTCTCCACCTTTGCTCTAAAGCGGCAAAAAATTCATCCTTGTTTGAATAATTTTTATCTCGTATTTGCTTATCTAAGTATTCCCATAGATTTTCAATGGAGTTTATATCGAGGCACTGTGAAGGCCATTTGAAAACTGTCACAGATGCTCCAATCAAGATGCAACCATGCAAATTGTAATCGGTCCTTACGGTTTTTTCTCGACATTAGCGGCTTCTTACTCGGGCGACGTGCAAATAACTTCAAATCATTTAATAACCAAAGAACACTGACAATTACTTTTATTAATCTAACTGATCTAGCATTTAGTTTTCTAGGCCGACCACTTCTCTTAGAGGCTTCCAAGATACCTTTTTGTTTATATTTGTTCAATATTACCCAAACTGCTTTACGCTTCAGCTTCAAATTTTTGGCAATGTCGACTTGACGTTGACCATCTTTGTATAACTCAATGATCTTAGTTCACATCGAAAGAAATTTCTGGACCACGCGGCATGGTGACTCAACTTATTCCACAATACTTGACGAACACAATCTAACCCTATTCTGACACGAAACTGTACTAAACTAATGTTGAAAAGAATTTGTCTACATATTTTTGTCCCTCATAAAAAATGCACATATTCAGATTTGTATTGTGTTCATTGCAGATAGGTAATGTAAAAACAAGGAATTTAGTTTTTCTACTAATAACGCATTTGTTTATGGAGCAATGAAGTATGAATTCGTTTTCTAAAGGTATTTAGGTCAATATATATAAAAATAGTGTATTATACACGAGAAAAATACTATATTATATACAAGCTAAAATCTAGCAACTTTTTCCCTTGTATAATATATAACTATTTTAATATTTTTTCTATCAAAGAGAAGTCGAAAAATTCGTCTTCCGATGATCACACGAAATTCTCACATTGTGACGCAGCTTAAAAAGCAAAAAACCTTATACATTGTTCTAGGTAAGCACTGGAACTATTATTCCCTAACCATATGGACTGCAAAAAGGAAATCAAAACCGTGTTGATCGAATCCAAGAATTTATTTCTTAAAATATTTGAAAATATTCAGAGAGCAATCAATATTTACCTCCGTACGTCCTACTATTGATCAGCTGATCCCTATCGCACTCAGCCTCCGATATCTCATTGCTGTCCTTGCTGTCATTGAACGAAGCGTTTCCCTGACCATTGCTGGATCCGTCGTGGTTGCGCGGCGGCGGTGGTGGTGGTGGCGGTTCGGGACTGCCTCCGTTCATCTGTACCGCCCTTAAACTGCCCAAGGACCGCCTTCCGATGCTCCCGCGCCCACTGTATTGGTCGTACGGTGCGCCGTAGTAGGCGGAGCCTCCGCCGTATTGCTCGTCCTCAGGGGCGCAATTGGCCGGGTCGTCGTACTCGGGCATGTTGCCGACTCCGTTACCGCTGTAGATACTGCCGTTACCTGCAGAACGAAAATTGCATTTTATTTAGTTAGAAAGTACCTCATCGCCTATAGTGTATTTATTTATTTATTTATTTATACATTATTGCCCAACAGAACTATTCCAATTAAAGGACAATATCATGGTAACTTTACTTATAATTCATACATGTAATGTATACCTAAAACTAATTTAAAAAATAGAACTAGCTATCATAATAGTACCTGAAATTCGACACGATCTTACTGATACAATCAAAATTAATGTCAGAACAGTCTGCTATGGAACTATAATTGTTGCATATAGAATGTAGCGGAGAATAAAATAATACATTTGTACGGGAGGTACTGCAGTAGAAAGTTAGAGTTCTTCTCGTATTTAACCGTGGAATATAGAAGGTTAACCTCTGGAGAAGTTCTGGTGCATCCACTCTGTCGTGCAAAAGCTTATGAAGGAATGATAGGCCAGCAGTGGAACGTCTTAACTGTAGAGACTCTAGTTCAAAACGACGCAGCAGAACAAATTGAGAGACCCCCCTTTCTGGATATGTGCCATCGATTTTATAAACACAGAATTTAAGAAATTTCCTCTGCACATTTTCTAAGATGCTTATATACTACGCATAGAAAGGGTTCCATATCAAACAGGCATACTCAAGTTTTGGTCGCACCAGTGATATAAAAAGAGCTTTTAGCGCCGCTTCGTTGGAAAAAGATCGGCAGTTGCGCATTATGAAACCCAGAATCCGTGTCGCTTCGGAAGTGACGCGTGCTACATGGACAGAAAAGTCCAATCTACAGGAAAATGTTACACCAAGATCTTTAGTCTCTGTTGTTCTCTCCAAAACCGCATTATTTATAGAGTAATCAAACATAATCGGATTCATTTTACGACAATATGAACATACTTTACATTTGGAAATATTTAAGAAGAGAATATTATTGTCGCACCACTGTCCGATGGTATGCAGATCGTCCTGAAGGGAAATACAGCTCTCCAAATTTGTAATTTTGGTGTAGATTTTCAGATCATCAGCAAATAGTAGACATTCACACTTTAGTGAAGCGACTAGGTTATTTATGAAGAATAAAAACAGCAAGGGACCTAGGTTTGAACCTTGCGGTACTCCAGAGGGAACAGTATAATTTGCTGAAGAATACCCATTATAGTAAACATATTGCGTCCTATTAGAAAGATATGAGCTTAAAAGACCGACTAACGAGTCACTAAGGCCGAAATAATGAAGGCTATCCACAAGAAGATGATGGTTTAATTTATCGAAAGCCTTGCTGAAATCCATGTAAATAACATCGACTTGTTGTTTCTTGTCTAACGATTCTGCTATATACTGCGTAATTGTCATTAAATTTGACGTAGTGGATCTACCTTTGATGAAACCATGTTGTGATGGAGTAATTAGGCTTTTAACGTTCTCGAAGATAAAAGAGTAAATGGCTATTTCAAAAGCCTTTGCAAAGTTGTTCAAAATGCTTATAGCTCTATAGTTGAGTACATCAGATTTATCACCATCTTTCAGGACCGGACACACCTTAGCTATCTTCCAAGCATCAGGAAAAATTCCACTCTTTAATATAGCATTGAAAATTATCAGCATCGGCTTGACGAAAACATGAGCACAATCTTTAATAATAAAACTAGGTATTTGATCTCTACCAGACGTAAGTTTATTTTGAAGCTTAGAGAGAGACTTCAGTACATCAGCTTCCGTTAATTCCTCTAGATAAATACATGGTGTTGAAGTGACACTATCTAAAGAAGAGGGAATATTTCGAGGAGTAACATAGACACTCTTAAAATATTCGGCAAATGCATCAATAACACCTTGTGGAGTATTGAATACGTTGCCGTTGAACTGGACTTGGCCTGGTATTCTGCTACAGTCTCTCTTATTCCGAATGTATGACCAGAACTTCTTCGGGTCGTTGATTATACTGTCCTCAACCGACGACAAGTACTCACTGTAAGCAACTCTAACTCGCCCCTTTATAATTCTGCGCAATCTAGAAAATTCATTGTAATGGTAAACATTGCTTGTTCTCTTATATTTTCTGTAGTAATAATCCTTCAAATTTATGTTACTTATAATTTCTCCAGTATACCAAGGAGGATACCTGAATTTGCAGGTGTTGGTATATTTAGGAACATAAATATCAAATATTGAATAAATTTTAACATAAAATGTATCGCAGTTGAAGACAAACATACTATTCGTTCTGGTAAATCTTACTACGTCACACTTTTTCACATTCAAATCAAGTTTGTTTACTTGACATCAAGTGTGAACATTACCTAATTCCATCTGTAAGGTATGACAGTCCTTCATACTTGTAATAGATAAGAAATCGTCAGCATAAAGAAGTTTGTTACAGTATCGCACAAGTCATTTATAAAGCAGTGGGCCAAGATTTGATCCCTGCGCTACACCCATATTCATAAGAATTGCAACCACCATATGAAACAAACTGATTCTGTGAGATAGTTATGACTCAAGAAATAGCAAAGCTGAACGATCTAAGCCGTAGTTGTTAAGTTTGTTTATAAGATATAAGATATGATCCAACCTGTCAAAGGCTCTGGCAAAATCAGTATACACAACATATTGTCACGTGCCAAAATCACGTAACCTTTTTATTTATACAATTTTGATCACTTACTACTAATTAGAATTTCGCTTTATCAATGCTAGAGTGTCCATTCCTATGCCAAACCCTTTTCAATGACTTTCTTTTGGTAAATTTCATAGCTTATTGATTGTATAACTTCACACGTATTATAACTTTCTTTCTCAGTGATTTAGTATCTTGTTGAAAAAAAAAACCTGTTTTTTCTCCGTTACTTCGTTTCCTGTTGAACGTACCTTCTTCAAGGCCACTCATTTAACCTTCCTTTATAAAGTTAGGTGTTTCGTGTCAGTCACTTTTCCCCTGAGGTTGTGGTGTGAACGCCATTTGCTTAATCTCCAGTTTGGGATATAAGTAGTAGCCCTTCATATACGTTTAGTTGTTTTGGTTTGGGTGCTATCCCTTCCATTTTCTTATGGGATTTTAATCTTCAGCGGTAAGTCGTTTTTTATACCATCGAACCATGTGCATTTATGCATGTCCTAAAGAAGTTTGTTTAATATCAGCTTCCTTTCAGTAGGAGGTATTGCAGAGAACCACCATTTACTCCTCCAGCTTTGCTTGTAGCTGTTTTGCAGCTTGGTATTGCCGGAGGCCAGCTCTTCCCCTCAGCAAAAAAACTAACTAAGTGACATATAAATCCGAACACCCAGTTTAAATGGTTTTATTTTAATAAAATTTTGTATAAGTACTTAATGAAGCATAATAAGAAAATGATAAAAATTTCAAAATGATTGCACTGCTTTAAAGCCCTTTGACCTTTAATAATGTGTGGATGCACTCTGATGTGCTACGCATTCTCCAACGCGCCTAGGCATGCTTCTGATCAGGTGGTCAATGTCCTCCTGTGGTATCTCATTCCAGGCAACCACCAACTCCTCTCGAAGTGCTTCTAGAGTCTGAGGAGGACGTTGCAAATTGAGCAATCTCCTACCCATCATATCCCACACGTGCTCAATTGGGGATAAGTCGGGAGATCTTGGTGGCCATGGTAACAATGTGACATCATTATGTTGAAATAAGTCTATTGTGACTCTTGCAACATGTGGTTGGGCATTATCTTGTTGGAAAGTTGGATCTGCCAGGGTGTCAAGATAGGGTAAAAGATGGGGTTCTACAATTTTGTGGATATAACGCTGCGCATTCATGTTACCTCTGATGAAGATTAAAGGTGACCTGGAACCATAAGCTATAGCACCCCAAACCATAACTCCAACAGTGTGATGAACATGTCTTTCAACAAAAAACTGTGGATTCCTCCTTTCACCACGTCGCCTTCTAACCCTGGCACGACCATCGTGCATGCCTAAACAAAATCGAGACTCATCACTACAGACAATACTGTTCCATTCCTGATCCCAGAGTGACTGTTGTCTGCACCACTCAAGGCGATTACGTCGGTGTTCTCGAGTTAAAGGCAGGACCCAGTGTGGCCGGTATGAAAACAATCCAAAACTTCTCATTCGTCGGTTAACACTTCGCATGCCAATATGTCTTCCGTGTTCTGCAAACCATTCATTTGCAATAGACCTGGTAGTGGAGAAACGGTCCCTTAAGGCCAATAATCATAGGCGGCGATCTTCACGGTCTGTTGTTCTACGGCGGCGTCCAGTGCCCCTTGCTCTTTGCGTACGGCCTTCTCGAAGCCATGCCTGACAACACCTAACCACAGTGTCTACACTTCTTTGCACTCTAACTGCAATTGCCCGAAAAGAAAGTCCAGCTTCCCGAAGTCCCACTATACGGCCCCTATCAAACTCACTAAGTTGACGAAATCGTACAGGTCTCCGTACTCTAGGTATCGTAACCGATCGTAAAGGATGTCAAGAAGCAAAATCCGCCAACGTTGATTCTTTACTGCGGCTGAAATATTCATTTTTAGAGCGTTAGTGAATTAAAAAAAAGCAGTATAAAAACCGGAATGTCCAACTGATAAGGCTGAAAATGTTTTCACTTGTTATTTACAGTAAGATAAATACATTCACCAACTTTTATTAAAATAAAACCATTTAAACTGGGTGTTCGGATTTATATGTCACTTAGTATATATTTTATCTATATTATTTATACATTGATTATTGCTGACTGAAATTCTTAGAGTGTACTTTATTTTGTTTGGCATTTTGCGTGTTTAAAGATGGGGCAGTGCTTACATGGCACCTTCTATTGGGCATGAATTACGTCGATCATGATTTTGATTTTTGAGGTGCCATAGAGTGATAGAAATGTGACTAAGTATTTAAATAATACTTTTCCTGGGCATTGCATTGGACGAGGGGGCGCAGTTTCTTGGATACCTCGCTCGCCCGATTTAAATCCCTTGGATTATTACTTGTAGGGACATATGAAGTCTTTAGTGTATGTAGAGAAATCGCATACCAGGGCTGAACTGCTCCGTAAAATTACTGATGTCGCTGACGACATAAGAGGTAATCGTCTTGTTATTGGGGAAGCCACCAGTCATATTATTAAACGGGCTAGACTATGTTTACAGTGTGAAGGTGGACAATTTGAACATTGTGAATAGTTATTTTTATTGTACCTAGTAATTTTGTGTTAAATAAAAGTGATTTTCCAGCAAATATTGTGGTTTTCCCATCATTAGCACCCTAAAAATAAAAAAATCATTAATTCGATAAGGAAGCATTTGCGGGCCCATGTTCATAGGACTTTTTCCACTCGAATTGACTTGAGGAACACGTAGAAAAATTTTGACCCTTACCTCGTATATTACCTGTATATACTCAGTGACATTCGAAGTGTTACACCGACAAAAAATAATTTGTTCAACTTGTTTCTTGGCAACATAATGCCTATATTTGAAGCATGCGGTGGCAACATGTCAACGCTTTGTCCTTGCTTTTGTTTACCCTTGATAAAAAATTTTATCTTAGTTTTTGTGAAGAAAGCAGTTTCTGAGACCTGATATTTTTAGTTTCAATTACTAGTGTTAAGCATAACAAAATGCCTCGTGTTCGAAAACGTCAATATTTTCACGATGTTAGCGACTTTGACAGGGGTAGAATTATAGCCTATCGAGATATTCGTTTGTTCTATCGCGAAATTAGCTGCCGTGTTGATTGTACCGCAATGACGGTAATACGAGTGTGTCGTGTGTGGGTAGAAGAAGGTATAGGAACACGAAGAAGGCCAACTGGTCCAACGAGGCGTGCCACAGAGAGCCAAGATAGGCGCTTCAGACAACTAGCCCTCCTAGACCGTTTGGCTATGCGTCGGATCGCTGACCAATGGTGTGGAGAAGAAGGTGGACCTGTTACTATACGTACAGTCTATCGGCGCATTCGAGCCTTTGGACTTTTTTCATACCCTTCACGGTTAGTGCTTCCTCCGACTGCGGACCACTGTCGTCAACGTTTGAACTGAATCTCAGAACGACAACATTGGTAAGACGCCGACGTGGAGTTGCTTGGAATGAGGTGCCACAACCAGAGATCGATCATCTCATTTTGTCGATGCCTAGACGTATACAGAAGTGTATTCAGCTGCAGAGCGCCCGACACATTTCTTATTACTTGTCAATAAAATTTCGTGAGAATGTTGTCATTGTCGACTACCATTGCCAAAAAAACGAGATGAACAAATTATTTTTTCTGGGTGTAACACTTCTGTCACTTAGTATATTTGTCAATAAAGCGCAAGCTACCTATGCCTTAAAGTTAACATAACCCATCGACAACATTCAACCAGGTCTATGAGGTAAAATCATTGAAAATCGGATCCACCTCTGTGAGAAGTTGATTAATTTTGTACAAATTTTCATACGTATGAATTTCAAATAAAAATTAGAAATTGGCTTTATTCTTTCCCCTCCTCGTATTGATTAGAAAACCCACGGGTCTGTCGTCACAGTGACACAGGAGATATACAGGGTGACTTTGAAGTTGAGTCATTAATTTTCAGATAATGATTGTAGAAGGAAGATACACCAAAATATGTGTGTAAAAATAAAATAAAAATTAAAAAAAAATGTTACCTTGTTTTATAAAGTATATCCTCCCGACAAGTATTTCAGTCCGGACCTGTATTTGATCGTGCGGTCTTGGAGCACCGGCAAGCACTCCCCTGTGAGGTCTTAAGTCACCTGATTCACGAGCCCTTTGTACTACATTATCAAAGGCACGAGGGGTTGCACTCGATTGGGAAACCGATTCGCATTTTGTAAAGACTCCCCCCCCCCCGTAAATAAGAATCATGTCCACAAGTTCAGCATTTTCGTAAACATGTGCCATTTTTTTTTTCGTTTGAGCCACACAACAAACACCACTATTCACTCACGCGTTACCGACTGACACATTGACTAACATCGTGATAAACGTTTCAAATTCTTTCGCTTTTTTGTTTCCGATGCGATGAACCGATAAGGCGGATTATATCCGTTGTTGCCAAACACGAGCACATAATATTATTATTGAGACAGGGCGGTACTCAAACTTCTAAAGGGCTATATCTTTGTTAATTTAATTCTACCAGAAAAATGAACAAAACATTTCTTTTGATCAGATCTACTCACTGTTAAAATAAATGACTCAACTTCGAAGTCACCCTGTATAGATGCTAATTGCTGACGATCAATAGAAACTGATTGTCCGTTTTCTTAGAATCTAAAACATAGCTAAATAAAAACTAACAAGTTACCTTGAGATCCAACTCTGTCATATCTGTTCCTAGCCTGCTGCCTGGGCATGGACTGAGATCCGTTGCGGCTATGTAGCCCATGTGGTGTCGCCATACCCGAAGGTCCCATGGTACCTGTTCCAGCATGGGGATGCGGGAAGGTCTGGAACTGCATCGCCTTCGAAGGGTCCATCTCTTCGCGGAAGCCCAACAGGTGGAAGGTTGCGTAAGGGCAGATCTCGTCGTCCATGCCTGCAGATGCGAGATTAGAAAGGGGGAAGTTGGACTGGAAAGTGTTACTTCAGTCAATTTGTGGATATCCGTAAAGCAAAAAATTAAGGTGAACCTAACAAGGACATCCACCACGTGGGCGTCCCAGGGTCACTCAGGAGAGGAGTGCTTCCAGCACTGACGTACTGTGCAAAACTTGCATGAGCTAAATAGTATTGGTTTCCTTTCAGTCTCTACGACCATACCCAAAGGTATACAACGTTGTTTCGTGCTTTTTAGCAGTCATCGTGATTATGTATTCGGATAGCTTTGGTCGCTGACACAGAACGCAAATAGTTGCTATTCAGCCTTCTTGGTTTTGAGAAAGGCTTTGTACAGGGTGAGGCAAAAGTCGCGAAGGGATTTGAAAAATTAATAACTTTTTTAAATTTTAATTTTAATTTTTTTCCCTAACACAAAACTAAAATGCAATGTTTGGAGTTTGTTTACAATTTAAGTGTGAAAGATTACATCACGCAAATGACCGCCATTTTCAGCCTCGCAAAGTGCAGCTGTTGCAAGAGCATTTTCCATTACCCGAGTCAGAATATCTGGCCCCAAAGCACTTACTTCTGCTCGAATATTATCTTTTAGTTGCTGCAGGGTTGTGGGTTTATTAATATACACTTTTCCTTTCAGATATCCCCAAAGGAAATAATCAGGGGCTGTTAAGTGCGGCGAGCGGGCGGGCCAATTGAATCCTGAATTTCTCGAAATTAAACGTTCGCCAAAAATCTGCCTTAGAAGGTGCATAGTGGCTCGAGCAGTATGCGCAGTGGCTCCATCTTGTTGGAAAGTCATCGTTTGATTGTCAGCAAGAGCTGGTCTTAAGAAATTTTGAATCATATCACGATATCGGTCGCCATCTACAGATACAGCATTCCCATCGTGGTCTTCGAAGAAGAATGGTCCAATAATTCGTTGAGACGTAACTGCGCACCATACTGTACATTTAAGCGGATGTAATTGCCTTTGATGAACCACCCTTGGGTTCTCGGTACCCCATATTCTGCAGTTCTGCTTATTTACGAAGCCATTCAAATGAAAATGGGCTTCATCGCTCATGATCAGAGAATGAATAAATTCATTATCTTCTCGAGCCATTCTTTGCAAGCGAACTGCATAAGTTAGTCGTTCTTGAAAATCTGCTGGTTTTAGTTCTTGCACTAGCTGCACTTTATATGGAAACAGATGTAAATTTCCTCTTAATATTCTGCGTAAAGACCTTTGAGACATCTGCAGCTCAGCAGAACGTCTTCGGGTTGAGGTTTCCGGATTCTCCTGAACACTCTCCTGAACGCGTTGAATGTTCCCTTCATTTCTTGCGGAACGTGGCCTTCCGCTTCGTGGGAGATCCATAACTGTGCCTTGTTGCTGAAATCGTGCCACTAAGCGTCGAATCATTGATTCAGAGGGCGAATTCCGCAAATTGAAATGACGACGATATGCTCGTTGAGTTTGAATTATTGAATGGTGATATTCAAAATAAAATTCTATAAGTTTGGTTCGTTGATTGAGGTTGTAACGCTCCATAATTAATCTCCAGGATTTATTTTACACGGTCCTGAAAAAAAAAATGAAAACAAAATAAATTTAAAAAAGTTATTAATTTTTCAAATCCCTTCGTGACTTTTGCCCCACCCTGTACAAGAAACCTTGCAGGAAAATTAAGTGTGACCTTTGCCTAACCTTGCTTATGACTTTTGTTATTAGGGTTTCAGTTCCATGAATGGTTGCATTTTTAATATGAGGTTAACTTTACTCAGCATTGTTTACGACCTTTCTTTTACACAGAAATAGAGGCTTCAAAGTGATTTCAAGGTCAACGATTTCAAGGTCAACTTGAGAAATTCAGGGGTCCCCTGCTTTTAGTCTGAATATTTTGATGATCTCGCTCATTGTAGGGCGTTATTGATTACAGAAAAATCAACGTTTCCTCCACATTTATTTGTAATAAAGTGCATAGTAATGAATATAATAGGCAGAACGAACAATACGTATTAGTAGATCCAACAAAGTGACCGAAGTTGCGAGAATGTAATATGACGTTTCGAGTCTATCGTCATTCTACAGCATGCTGGGTGCATCAAGGGGCAGTAGCTAAAAAGCTAGACTTACTCAGTTCAATCCAGGAAAGTTAGTAACTATCAACACGTGAAAAGTACAAGATTAATAGTATAAAGTTATGCTAAACATAACATGTACGTGAACAGAAAAGGAAAGAAAATAATACTGCAATACGATATGAGTTTAAATGAGATTACAATGGACAATTATTGTTGATTATAATGACAATGAGCATGAGATCAAATAAAATCGTCGATTATTATGAGAGAAAATTGCATAAGAACAATTTATATGGAAATTACTGCAATAGCTCGAACAGGACATCTTTGTGATCTAGCTGTAACGAAAGCATTTTTTAATTTCATATTATGAATACAATTTACAACCACAATGAATTAATATACGTGAATATATACATTTTTTTTATCAAACATCCACAAGTAGAAAGTGCAAAAGGCTCTTGAGTTGTCCTCGATTAAATTTCGTTGTTAGTACAGTTCATACGCAATACGTACCTACATTAAAGCATCACCCTCAAAGCTGAAAACTGTTAGTAATTGCTAGTAGAAAATACTGCGCATTCCTCAAACCAACGACAAATCAAAAGTCGCAAACGCGTAAAGCCTCGTACACACTACACTTTGCATCCACCAGAAGAAAATACTGATACTGATTTATTAATCCAATGACACGATGATAAGATCACCAAAATCAAGACAGAGCCGCATCGTCAGTCGTTCCTACAATATTTTATCAAGCCTTTATGGTCTCTTCGATTGTTTGTTTAAGATTTAGGTATTTAGCATGATTGCTACAATTACATTATTTTAAAAAACTAGACAATATATTGAGAAAAGACAAAATTTGCTTCTCTAAGAATTTTCACTGTCCATGATATGTGTATATTGCTTTAATTTTCTTTTAAACATTTTTAAATTACAAGTAGACTTTATATCATTATTTAATTTATCAAGTTCAAGTAATCGTAATCCTTTCTGAAATATTGATTTGCTAGTTATATTACTGTTGCAATTTTGTAAATGAAAATCTATATTTCCTTTTGTACAGTAATCGGTAATAATTATCCAGTTCTATGTAGTGTTCTAAATGTTGTGGCAAAATATGATTCTTTAAATATAAAAATAAGAAGCAAATATGGTATGAAATATCAAAATATTTAATTGATTCAACATTTTCAATTATTTCACCATTTATCTGACTGATCATATTTTCATTTAGGTATTTCACTATTAGCATACATTTTGTTTTAGAAGTATTTAATTTTAGTTCATTTACATTTAACCAATTTATGATTTTTGCCAAGTCAAAATTTAGCATTTTTAAAGCGGTGTCTATGTTTTCATCTGATATGTCTATTAATGTATCATCCGCAAATATTTGAATTTTACAATAATCTAAAATATTACAAATTTCATTAATGTATAAAATAAATAGTAGTGGACCTAGTTTACTACCTTGTGGTATACCAACAGAAATATTTTTGACCTAGTTTTGTAGAATTTTGAATACAGATCCTTTAAATCCGTAGTGATCCAATTTTGTAAGTAATTAGTCTCAAACGCCCTTTTGAAGTCCAAAAACACTGTTACTGTATGTTTCCTATTGCCCATACAGGTATATCTCCTCCAGTCCTCTAAAACCATTTGTATTGCCATTTCAGTTGAGTGTTTCCTCCTGAATCCAGCTTGAAATATGGTTAAAATTTTATTTCCCTCCAAAATTCGATGATCTGTTTATGTGATTTTCATAGTTTTTCCTGTCCTTCAGAGAGGCAGCGATATTTTTAGATATATACCGTTTCGAGCAAGCGCACTATTTTGAACTTCATTATTTTTTTTTTATATCGAAACAGCCGCGCAGGCCAAAGCCTAAATGCCGGAACACCGCGGCTGCTATGATGATCCCAAAGAAATTTTGTTAATACGATTTTTGAACTGCCTGAGGTTAGTAGAACTGGGAAAAGCTTCCTCCCGTAGATTGTTCCACAATCTAGACACCCTCGGAACAAAGGAGCGGTCGTATCGGCCAGTTCTGGATGTACGAAGTTTGACACGGTTAGGATGGGACGCCGAAGTCAGGCGGGTCTGTCTGGCAGGCACATCGCGCGGCGGCATCATGGAAGAGAGCTCTGAAGAGCAAAGCCCGTCGGTGTAGCGATAGAAAAGAGCTAGATCGCCGACGGCCCGCCGGTGCGAAAGAGTCCCGAGACTGTCTGTTAGAGAAGAGTCATCGATCAGTCGGACCGCCCTCCTCTGGACAGCATCGAGCATGGACAATGTAGCCGGGGCGGCAGCACCCCAAATGTGTGAGCAATACTCGAGGCTAGGCCTTATCTGGGCCTTGTATAGAGTGAGAAGGTCATGCGGAGAAAAGTACTTCTTAGCCCTAAACAAATAGCCTAGCTTTTTCCCAGCAGCTGCAGCTATTGAAGAGATGTGTTCGTGCCAGATCAGTTCCTCGGTGATCTGGACTCCGACCAGCCGAAATGAATGGCTCTTTGGTAGAACTCGACCGTCCAGCGAAACTGTATGAGCGCTAGGACGCTTTTTGTTCGTCAAAGTACAGTACTGTGTTTTGGAAGCATTGAACTGTACAAGATTGTTGCGTCCCCAAGCAGTGATAGCTTCCAGGTCTCTTGTCAGAGAAGAAGTCGTCGCTAGTCTTCTTTTTTCCAGCTCAGCGGCAGACATCGGCTTGTCACTCTGAATTCCTGCATGTAGAGTGCTGTCATCAGCGAAGCTGTGGATTGGGTTGATCGTGCAGGAAAGGAGGTCGTTGATATGTAAGAGAAACAGTGTTGGAGCCAAGACCGATCCCTGGGGAACACCCGCGTTGACGTTGTGGGATGAAGAGGAGAATCCGTCAATTACGACGGATATCTTGCGGCCAGAGATAAAGTCAGCCACCCATCTGCAAAGCTTTTCTGGGAGGCCGCAGGATGGAAGTTTGTTTAAGAGGGCAGCGTGCCACAGCTGATCGAACGCTTTCGTGATGTCAAGAGCAACGACATGAGCCTCACCATGAGACTGGATGAGTTTACTCCACAGTTGCGTGATGTAAGCTAGGAGGTCCCCTGTGGATCGTTGGTGCCGGAAACCGTACTGCCTGTCGCTAATCAAGCTGTGACGTTCGAGGTAGTCTAGAAGCTCGCGATTTATGCACCTCTCTATCACTTTACTTATAACAGAAAGCAGAGCTATAGGCCTGTAGTTGTAAGGGTCGGTTTTAGATCCTTTTTTTGGGATGGGCTGTACATGAGCAAATTTCCAGTTTTCAGGGAAGGTGCCGGATTCATAAGATATCTGGAAGAGACGCGGAAGAACTGGAGCAAGCTCCGCTGCACATCTCTTCAGTACAATGGCAGGAATCAAGTCCGGACCAGAAGCTTTGTTGATGTCGAGCGACAAGAGCACTCGTCTTACGGTCTTGTCTTGTCTGAATGTTACTCCCCGCATAGTGTGGGGAACCCTTTGAATTGACGGCACTTGGGCGTTGGTGGGGACGTCCATTATGGAGTTGGCAGCAAAGATCTTGGCTAGCACTTCCGCCTTGGCCTTTGAGTCGAGTACAATAGTTCCATCCTGACACGTAAGTGGTGGAAGGCTACTGTGTGAGAAGTTCTTTTCAATCTGCTTGGCCAGCGTCCAGAAAGACCGACTGCCATTGCGCTGCGACATTACCATGTGCCTAACTTTTATATCATGCTGGTTTTTGGCATTGCGTACCGCTTCGTTATATTTGTTTCTGGAGGCGACGTCGGCTTGTCTGTTCTCTACAGTGGGGTTTTGTAAGTAGGTTCTGTGGGCCTTGATCTTCTGCTGGCGAGCAGTGTCACACGATTTGTTGAACCAGCCGTTGGGCCCTGGTTTAGGAACTTTCACTGTGTGAGGGATGTATTCCTCCATTCCGACGTGGATAATTTCGGTTATTGAAGAACAGACAGTCGACGCATCCGCGTCAGTGAAACAGACATCTCTCCAAGGAAAGCTAGAGAAGAAGTCTCTGAGCCCCTCCCAGTCGGCATGTCCGTAATGCCAAGTTTTGCGGCCTGTGCGAGTTTCTGCTGCCACAGCGGCTTCTGACCGAAACCTAACCTCCACAACACCGTGATCTGAGTTACCCAGGGGGGACAGGACAGCAGTGCTGTAAGGGGCAGGATGCGTGGTCAGAAAGAGATCCAGCAGGCTACTGGCGTGTGACGAGACGCGGGGGAAAAAAGTAGGGCTCGTCACCAGCTGGGTCAGCCCTTGAGTAAGAGCGAACGCTTCGACTGCACGACCTGCTGCATCGGTCTTATTTGAGCCCAACCAAAGCTCATTATGGGCATTGAAATCACCGAGAAGAGCTACCTCTGAAGCGGGGTGATTGACGTTCAGGAAGTCAATCTGGACGGCGAGGTATTCGAGTAGGTCATCCCAGTTATGGTTCGAGGGAGAGCGATAAAGACAGCATATATATTTGGGTGATGTTTTGGAGTTGAGGCGAAGCCACAGAATGTCCTTCCGGTTTGATTCCAAAGAAAGATCCCTGGAGCAGGAAAGACTGCTGCGGACAAAAGCCACAACTCCCCCGTTCTTTCTCAGATTGGAGTGCACCTCGTAGTTTGGGAAGTTGAGATGGTTAATCGGTGCAGTCTCTGAGATTTTTGTCTCCGCCAAGAAAAGCACGGCGAGACGATTGGATTGCAGGTAGTGATGAACAGCATCAATGTTGCTGTTGATCCCGCAGATGTTCGAAAAACAAATTTTATCTTCGATGTTGTTTCCTCGAGCCCACCCTCCACCCCGACATTCCGAGAGTGGAGTGAGTTTACGTCCGGAGTTTTTAGTGCTCGAGGGATCCATCATCATTAATTTCTTTGTTTTGGTAGATAACCGACTGCATAGCTTAGGTGTGGAAACATGCGGACATTTATAAGACACCCTGGGAAAAGCTAGCGGGTGGTACTGCCTCGGTCGACTGGTCCTTGTCTACCACCTTCTTTTTACGTGTTAGTGATGTTAAATAGACCTAAAGTGGCCCGTTGGCGGACTTGTACCGCCAACCGGCAATCGGTACTGAGGTATTCCTTAACGCGTGCACAATCACTTGGACGGGAAGAAGTTGTATACTGGATACAACAACTTCTGGAACAAGCATTTGCCACGGCCCTCGCTCAGTAGGGCGGATTATCACCTGTTTTATCTTGAGTGTTTCCTCCTGAATCCAGCTTGAAATATTTTTAAAATTTTATTTCCCTCCAAAATTCGATGATCTGTTTATATGTGATTTTCATAGTTTTTCCTGTCCTTCAGAGAGGCAGCGATACTTCTAGATATCTACCGTTTTGAGCAAGCGCACTATTTTGAACTTGATTATTATCATCTGTTTTATCTGCCTGAAATTTTTTAAGATTCAGAAAGAAAACCTAACCTCACGATAGGAGAGCGCGCACGCTAATACAGAACAGTAGAAATCTACAAATCCTCCAGCCTTTCTGAAGGAGAGAACAGACTAAGAAAAACAAGGAGGCCATAAAGGCGTGCAACAACTGTAGGAACGATTGACGATATGGCCGTTAATGACCTTGCATTTTGTGAGTATGTGAATCATACTGCTTATATTGTGGTCATAATATGTACAGTTATAAGTTATTTCTGTTTTAGTAACTTTATTTTGGCATTGCAATGACCCCGACTTGGGGGTCTGATCAATTCAAGATGCAGCACAGCCACAAATATCGAATTTCAGTAAAAATAGTTATTTACTTAACAAGTGCGGAAAGTGATACTTTTCCCACAAGTGTTAGACATAATATTTTTTCTACCACCGTGCGGAAAGTACTCTTTCAACGCGCATAACAGTACTACTTTCTACACCCAGATGCGAGTTGAAAGTCAGTACTTTCCGCACGTTAGTAAAAAAAAAATTAAAATGCCCATATTTGTGGCCGATCGGCGAGACTAGATATTTTTTGTCGCAATTTGAGAAGCATAATGTGCACGGGGCTTTAGTCGACTCGTTTGCTGCGTGTTTACCTCTGCAGGTATGGACAGTTTCATTGGAACCACGCCTGCTTCTCAGTTCCTCGTACATGTGCCTCCTTGGGTCCCAAGTCGAATGAGATCGGTAATGAGCTCCTAAATGGACACCAAACGGAACAGAAAAAACAGAAGGAAAAGTAAAAAATACTATCGCAAAAGCAGATCTAGGAAGATTGTGTAAAAGTAGTGTCAGCTTATGGTTGTTAGATGACGACACTGACGGCAACTAAAATACAGAAATGGTGGGTTCGCACTACTAAAAGGACATTTAAAGAATGCCTCAAGGGATGAAAGTAGTAATATGCATTGTTTGGCAGTAAGAGCTAACAACTCCTAATGAACCTAGTGTTGACGCATTTGGGAAGATGTGAAGACCGGTTTTACGTCAAAAGGCAGGTCAACTACAAGAGATCTGGCTACACGACACTGGTTTGAACGTCACAGCAGCCGACTTACATGATTGAGTACGTTGCCTGACCATTACTACTTCCTTGCTCAGAAACACCATTGAATTCCCTTGAAGCTTTCGATGCACTAACGGTTCAAAGCGAGATCGAGATTTGAGACAATATATTGTAAACAGGTCTGAGAATTTTTGAATTTCATTCTTAAAAGGCTTCATGCAATTTTTAAGAACGTTCTGCTAGCTGGATAATTGCAAAAAATTAATTTAAGTAGCTTATGTAAGGGATATCAAAAAACTTTCCTTTGGTAATAAAGAAAATATACCAATGTGTAAAATGTTGTAGCTGGGGCAGCGCCTATTATACAGGGTGTTCGAAAAATAGACGGGGATATTTTGAAATGTGATTCTTTGTTAAAAAATACAAAAAAAAAGTTTCTATAAACATGGGTCCGGAAATGTAGAGTTTCCAAGATGCTAAATAAATTAAAAAAATGTTTTATTAATACAGTGGAATCCACTTATAATGAACTTGCTTATAATGAAAACCCGTATATAATGGACACAATTTAAGGTCCTATAAATAATTGCATGTAAAATCCTCGGATATTATAGACTCGCTTAAAACAGATGATGCAATCGTTTACGTCGGTTTGGCTTCGCAGTTTGCATTCGAACTTGGCCACTAGTGTTATTCTGTATTTATTAGAGCTATAAAGTGCGAAACTTTACACGAAAAGTTCACAATAATTAGAGAACTTGAGAAGGGTTCATCTCAAGCAAATATATCTGCTCGTATGGCTATAAAAAAATCCACTGTGTGAAATATTTGGAAAAAACCGTCACAACATTAAAAATGACTGGAAATCAAATAGTCAAAAGAAAAAAATGCGGCTATCGTTGCATCCCAGTCGATGATATGCTGTTTAAATGGTTTCAACAAAAGCGTGCTAATAATTTTCCAATAAGTGGATCTATGCTACAAATAAAGGCTAAAGATTTCGGGAAATTGATTGGAAATTACTTCAAATGTAGTTCCGGTTGGCTAGACAGGTTTAAGAAAAGACATAACATTGTTTTTGGAAAAATGTGTGGTGAGTCATCTTCAGTTGTTTAGAACGTTACCAATGACTGGATTTCTCCAGTTTGGCCCGTAATATCCAGTGATCGTTCAGATGATAACATATTCAATGCAGATGAAACCAGGATATTTTATAGAATATTACCAGATAAAATTCATAAAATAAAAGGGGAAACTGGCAGTGGAGGGAAACTATCAAAAGAGCGAATAACTGTTATGATTTGTGCTAATCCTTCTGGTACTGAACAATGGAAATTCATGTTCTAATTTTTTTGATAATTCAATGGCAGTGCTGCAGAGAATTTATGACCTTTTTTTATTTCAGGGAAATTTAAGAATCCCAGTTGTTTCAAAAATGTTAAAATAATTCCCGTCGATTATGTTGGAAATAATAAAGCTTGGATGACTTCAATTTTTGAAAAATATTTAAGAACTTGGGACGCTGAACTTGTTAAGAAAAATCGTAAAAGTCGATAGCTGCCCCGCTCATCCAAATATTTATATTTTACTTAATAACATCAACGTTCAATTTTTTCCACCCAATGTGACATCAGTTCTGCAACCAATGGACCAGGGTGTCATTTGGAGTCTTAAACAAATGTATCGAAAACATATGTTGATGAAAATTATGGAGCTTCAAATAGATGTCAACATTACCAAAGCTGTCACCATTTTAGATGCTATAAATTTTCTCACTATTGCATGGAAATTGGTTACTCCAGAAACGATTCGTAATTGTTTTCGTCATGCTGGTGTAGCGAAAAATATAACTGAAATAGTCAACGGTTTTAATGCAGAAGATGAAATTCCATTAAGCGATTTACTGAAAATTAATAGTTTACTGAATATAGACAAATTTAATGAGTATATGTAGATGTTGACAATAATTTAATAGCAACACAGGAATTGTCAGACTCCAATTTGGTTAATGAAGGATCCGTTGATATCGAACAGGAAGACGAACTAGAAAACAACGATGAAGAAGAGCTTCCAGTGACAACTAAGGAGGCGTTAGACTGCGTGAAAAAGATGCAACGTTATTTTCAGCAAGAAGGAGAGTACAGCCACACTTACCAAATAAAATTCAACTTGCTGTTCTAAATAATTATTATACATATAACAAAAAATCTGTTCAAATGAAAATTACTATCTTTCTTAGCACATAATTTACGGTTTTTACACATACCTACACAGTACGTATGGCTGTAATATGTGTATTAGGTGCTGAAAAAATGCAAATTTCAAAATTACGTATACTAAGTGACATATAAATCCGAACACCCAGTTTAAATGGTTTTATTTTAATAAAAATTGGTGAATGTATTTATCTTACTGTAAATAACAAGTGAAAAATATTTCAGCCTTATCAGTTGGACATTCCGGTTTTTATACTGCTTTTTTTTAATTCACTAACGCTCTAAAAATGAATATTTCAGCCGCAGTAAAGAATCAACGTTGGCGGATTTTGGTTCTTGACATCCTTTACGATCGGTTACAATGCCTAGAGTACGGAGACCTGTACTATTTCGTCAACTTAGTGAGTTTGATAGGGGCCGTATAGTGGGACTTCGGGAAGCTGGACCTTCTTTTCGGGCAATTGCAGTTAGAGTGTAAAGAAGTGTAGACACTGTGGTTAGGTGTTGTCAGGCATGGCTTCGAGAAGGCCGTACGCAAAGAGCAAGGGGCACTGGACGCCGCCGTAGAACAACAGACCGTGAAGATCGCTGCCTAAGATTATTGGCCTTGAGGGACCGTTTCTCCACTACCAGGTCCATTGCAAATGAATGGTTTGCAGAACACGGAAGAGCTATTGGCATGCGAAGTGTTTACCGATGAAAGACATGTTCATCACACTGTTGGAGTTATGGTTCGGGGTGCTATAGCTTATGGTTCCAGGTCACCTTTAATCTTCATCAGAGGTAACATGAACGCGCAGCGTTGTATCCACGAAGTTCTAGAACCCCATCTTTTACCCTATCTTGACACCCTGGCAGATCCAACTTTCCAACAAGATAATGCCCGACCACATGTTGCAAGAGTCACAATAGACTTCTTTCAACATAATGATGTCACATTGTTACCATGGCCACCAAGATCTCCGGACTTATCCCCAATTGAGCACGTGTGGGATATGATGGGTAGGAGATTGCTCAATTTGCAACGTCCTCCTCAGACTCTAGAAGCACTTCGAGAGGAGTTGGTGGTTGCCTGGAATGAGATACCACAGGAGGACATTGACCACCTGATCAGAAGCATGCCTAGACGCGTTGGAGAATGCGTAGCACATCAGGGTGCATCCACACATTATTAAAGGTCAAAGGGCTTTAAAGCCGTGCAATCATTTTGAAATTTTTATCATTTACTTATTATGCTTCATTAAGTACTTATACAATACAAAATTTTATTAAAATAAAACCATTTAAACTGGGTGTTCGGATTTATATGTCACTTAGTATATTAAAATAAAACCATTTAAACTGGGTGTTCTGATTTATATGTCACTTAGTATATAACTTTTTTGTATGTATCTTTATTTATGTAATACATATTAACAAACACACTTTAAGCTTTTAATATGTTATTTCTGCTGCTTTTTCCATTAAAAAAAGTGTTTCTTTTAAGACGGTCATCCGCCTATAATAGACTATTTATTTATCACAGTCCCGCCGAGTCCATCATAAGCGGGTTGCACTGTCCTATCTTAAAAAAATATTCGATTCTGTTAAAATTTGGCAATATTATTTGTTTTATTAAGAGGCTAATTTAGCCTTAAATAGATTCAAATTATTAGGTCCAGAGAAACTTTTATAATTTTGTTTAACAAGAAATCACCCTCTAATATATCTCCGTCCATTTTGCGAACACCCTGTATATGCAGTATCTGTTTGAAAGAAGTAGTGCTTAAGTATGTTATTATTTTGTTTGTCATTCATTTAATTTTGAAACATCTCATTAGTTTTCCTTCTCATATATTTTTACAAAATTTTCAAGGATTCTCAGCCTGCTGTTACCTATAACAACCTCAGATCCAGGTCCAGGTTACATACAATGTCGGCATGCAAGAGAAACTAAAAGATAATAAAAAGCGAAAAGCCCTTACTTCCAGTACCTCTCTTGATTCGGTCGCAGGTGTTGTAGTTGCTTCCGGGAACAGGTGGTAGCTTTCTGTTGGGCGGAGCGATGTAGCCTAACTCATCCCTCAGGTCCGGTCGTCTCTTGTCCAGGGTCGAGGCGGGGTTGCACGATTGGTTGTATACTACATCATCTAGTGTTATAATCGTCATGTTAGGCGGTGTGTGGTCTGTGTAACTGAGAGCGGGATAAAAAAAGGCAGGGCGGAAGATGCGATAGAGAGCGAGAGAGGGAGAGAGAGAGAGAGAAAGAGAGATGAGGCGATGTTAGAAAGAGGCGAGGCGAGGCTCGACAAGTAAAAAACCCACTGAAGCTTCTCTTACACCCATCATAGAAGCCCAGTGCTTCTTGGAATCCTTCGTTGATGGTCGATCATAAATCAGATGTTTATCGAAACCACATCCACTATGCATAGGTGTAATGCTTATACCCATGTTGAAGGTGCTTCTATAGCTGACAGTGCTCTGTTGCAGCGGCATCATGCTACAGCTCTCCTTATCAGGATGTTTCACAACTTATCCGACAAATTTTAACCACTAATGTTACGAAAGGAGTTGATTTCTCAAAAAAAAATATAATAAAAGTCCTACAGAAATTAAGTTATAAACCTGAGTTTCAATAATAAATTGAAAAATAAATATCTGTATTTTGCGTTCATCGTCGTGATATTAGAACACGCATTAATAATTTATTGTAGCAAATGTTGTACCAAACAACTGACGAAAACAAAATACCCGGAATTTTTTGTTTTTACATACTGATAAGAACGTGGAAATAAGGTTTAATCTGTATCATGGGTGATCTGAATGAAGAATGGTCCATTTTTGTGAAGTTAAATAAGAAAGTTTTTGGTAGTTTATGTATTTAGTTACTTATTAATAAAAATGGCACATTTGTACACTAAGTGGACATTGTCTTAGCGTACGGAGAAGCAGGGCAAAATTCGCGAGCGGCATCTCGTTTGTATGCACACCGATTTCGGAATAGGCACATACCACAGCACGAAACATTGTGGAGTGGAGATTTGCGCTCCAGACGTGGAGTGGATGGGGGTCGGGTTCGCCCACAACGCGTTTTAAATGCCGAAGACCAAATTTTTGATATTGTAGAAGAAAATTCGAGAATAAGCACAAGGCAGTTAGCCCAACACCGTGGCGCGTATTACCTGAGGCCCAACTGTACCCTTATCACGTCCAGAGAGTCCAGGCATTGCTACCAACAGACTACCCCCTAACAGCAAGATTTTGTGAATGGTTGTTGCAAGAAAATGGTCGAAATGCCCGTTTTACAGCTGATATTTTGACCACCGCTGAAGCTATGTTTAATCGTAATGGGATAACCAATGTTTATAATACGAACGTTTGGTCCTCACGCAATGGTCCAGACACACTTCCAACAACGTTTTCTTTAAACGTGTGTGCAGGTATTGTCGATGAACGTCTAATTGGACCGTTCATATTTCCAGATAGGATGGATGGTCATCAGTATTTGGATTTTCTTCTGAAGATGTGCCATTGGCGGTCCAAGCACGAATGTGGTTTCTGCACGATGGGGCACCTCCGCATTTTCGTTTAAAAGTTCGTGATTTTTTTAATCAGGTATACCAGATACGCTGGATCGGAAGGCGTGGACCAATTCCATGATCTCCATGGACTCCCGATCTAAATCCCCTGGACTTTTTTTTTATGGGGATACTTGAAAAACGAGGTATACCGTACTCCAGTTCAGAATATTGAAGAATTGCGTGACCGAATCACAGTGGCTGCCGATAATTTGTGCCTTCAGGCATAGCAGGAAGGAGGTGTATTTGAATTAGTGCGCCGGAATTGGATTAGACACGCCCCAGCTTGCATTGCAGTCAATGGAAACAATTTTGAACAGCTTTTATAAGTAAGTGAACTGTTAAACTGTATTATTTTATTATCTCGATTTCTGTAGGACTTTTATTACATTTTTTTTTTTTGGGAAATCAAATTCTTCCGTAACAGTGCACATGTCGTTAAAATTTGTCGGATAATCCTGTATAAAATCATCTATCGATAACCATGCTTCGCACGGCAGAATTCATTTGTCTCATTGAGGAACTAACTTTTCCTTAGACAAACTTCCGAGCCTTATAGAAAAAAAAAACTGAAAGATAAAAGGTGGGTCGAGTAAACCAAAAATAGTGCAAAGGGCCAAAAGATGATGTGAGTGTTGTGAATGTGAATGTTAATAATAGTGCAAATGACATGTTAAAAATAGATATATACCCAAAAGCATAAGACTCAGTAACAAGTATAGAAACGATATGGTACTGATTCCTGAGATGTTTACTATGTTTGTGTATTGAAATGTTATCTCTATGCTTGTGGGTATATGATATCCTGGTATTCTCCAGAAATCTGTTCAATTGTAATTCTGAATAAAACTGTTACATTGACGATTTATGGAGAACATGAAATCCATCTAAAGGCAGCGTATATGAATAAAAAGAGAGGTAAAAGAGGATCTAATTAATATGAGCTTAGACGCAATGTGCCTGTTATATGGATTTCTGGAATATATTCGATAAAAACTGATCTCATCAATTTTTAAAGGGGAACTAAAAACTAAAAGTTGTGCTCATATAACCAATTTATAATGGTTACATGAAAAAGGAAACTACTTCATATATGCATGTAGAAATAACTCCAAAATGTCCTTAATGTAATACGAGGAAGTACTCAAGCATAAATATTTTGGTCTGCATTTTTCTACAAGCATATAATGCATTCTCCCAAAGAAGTGAACGTGACAAGTTAACTTTTAAAACATTTGATCAAAGCATTTAACGGTTTTTGTCGCTATTTTGTTACTTTTAGATGAATTCGATATCATCGTCAATATAAATTACGTTTCAAAAGTAGCGCTCCTGAAATTCAAATCAGATATGTATTTGTACTGAGTATTTATCTTCTTTAGGAGTGTGCAATGGGACTTCAAAATTAATGCAACTTGCTCTCAAAGAAATAATATAAGAACGTTAATTTTGTTCTTCCACTAGGTATATCATGATCTTCAACTGCTTTGTTATTAACAAGACCCAGATACAACCTGGGATAACTTTTCCCAAGTCTAGTAAACTGCTACCTCGTCTCTACTGAGTATACTTGAGTGATGCATTTTTAATTAAACGATGAGTAAACTGGATTTTTCTATCGGTATGTCCACAAAATTTGGATCTGAGCTTTCTTCAATAACTCTGGCACTTTCCGAGTCTAAAAATGGTTAAGAATATGATGTGGGCAGCGTTTCCCTGGTTCCAGGGATTTTAGCCTCTCAGACTTGAAATTTGATAAGAATCCAAGTCAGATTCTCTCAAAAAAGATTCTAAATGATTGTTTCAATATAATTGCAAAGAAATTATTATTATTGGTGAAACATTGTTTAGTACATGATAAATTCCCATCAAAATTAAAGTGTTCCACCATTACTCCTGTGCCAAAAGTTCAACATTCTGAGCTATATTCAAATATGCGACCGATTAATGTCTTGCCAGATGTCGAGAAGCTGTTCGAAGGTATAATATACGAACAAACTATTGAATTCATTAAAGAAAACAAAATTTTAACAAAACAAAAGGATGGATATAGAAAAAATATTCTGCAGAAACAGCATTCCGAATGGCGGAGGAAGACTGGAGAAGAAGTATAGATGAAAAAGAATGTATTAGTATTAAGAATATTTTTTATGTTGTTCAATCGCCTTGCTTACAGCAAATAAAGACATATTTTCAAAATTAAAAATTCTACAAATTAAAGCTATGAAAATATGCTAGGATTCAGTCTATGTTAGAAGAACTACAGTGGTTGAATGTGAAATGTTATTTAGTTTGATTTTCATATTCAAATAAAAAAATCATTTATTACCACCACATTTAGAAAACTTTACAAAATTAAATAGTCATTATCATAGCTACGAAACTAGAGTCAGCGTAATCTTGATCTGCAAAATTGTAATAGTAGCATAACCAGCAAATCTGTATTTCAAAAGGGAGCATTTGAATTTAATAAATGGAATAATGATAAACGGTGTTCGAATTTAAAAATGTTTAAGGTTTAATTATAAAATCACTTTATGAATACTCAAAATGCATAGTGATGTAATTTTAATAGACAAGAATGTAAAATTTCAGAAAATCGTCTAAAAAACTGTGTAAACGATTAATTATACAAAATTGACATTTTAGCATTAATGATAATAAAAAAAACTTCAACAAATAAACAAACGTTGGCATGTTAGGAGCATGAAGATGATCGAGAATATAAAATGGTCTTCCTGGGTATTTTAGCCAGTTCCAACCTGGCGCTCGCAAAATTTTTCACAATTAAAGAATTGCCAATATCAGATATTGTTCCCATCACATGAAGCTATAATGAAATAATGTAGTTCAGACTGTAAAAAAAGTTTGGAACGCATCAAATATCTGACGAAAGACTCATCTATTTTTTTTAAAGTTGGTAGGTTTAGGTTAGAAACCACGGCAGAAAGGTTGATGATTTCCGCGATGTTGCCAAATCTACAGTTTTTCAGAAACTGGTAGTAGTTTTTTTTCTTATGGAATTTTATACACTTCATTCAATATTTGTATTCTGCGAGAAAATCTGAATACTTTTTACTAAACATTATTTGACATAGACCGACTAGTTTTCGAAATAATAATATGTTATTTTTTTCACCTAAGCAGTGACCAGTATGGAAAATAATTTCCTGTCATATCTGAAATGTCTGTTTTGTTAATAGAGTTAATAAAAATACGATTTATTTAACTGAAACCAAGAGGATAGAAATTCTAATATTAATTAAAATAGTGTATTTGATATTCCAAGGAAGCAAGAGAAGAATTGAAAACGAAGAAAACGATAAAACCTAATTGTTAATTTCCTCAAAAGATCCAAATATCTTTCAGCGTTTAAATTTTCTCCCATGAAAAACGGACCGATTCTCTTTTGACCTACGATACCGGCCCAAACATTACTTTTTTGTGGATATCATATATATATATATTCGTAAAAAAATGTTCATTTCTATTACACATGTCCATCATGATCTCTCAGAGTTGTAAACGCCTGTCGAAATCATCATCTGATAGCTCTTGAACTAAGACTAAGACGACTCTGTAAGGATGGAATTTTTCCGTCATTAAAATGTGTTCCACAGACATGTGAGATGTATTGTTATCTTTATCAAGTGTTCTAGTAAAAGGTGGGGGTTTTCCGCTATGCTCAATAAAATATTCAAAGCCTTATTTTTGTCGTGGAACATCCTTTACATGTCCTGTTATTCAAAGTTTCCTCAAAACTATTCCAACAGTAGACATTGTAATGTCTTGCTGTGTGCATCGACGATCGCCATAACCCAGTATCATTAGAATTTCTATCATCTCGGTTTCAGTTAAATAACTTAACTATCAAAACTCAGTGGTCTTTTGAATGTCAGAAATGATAGGAAATTACTTTCGATACCAGTCATTGCTTAGGTGAAAAAAATACCTTTTATTGTTTAGATATAAATGTTTGACCGCGAATATTTCGAAAACTGTGAGGTCTACGTCAAAATATGTTTAATAAAAAGTATTCAGGACTTGTCGAGGAATTCAAAAATCGAATAAAATGTACAGCATTCCGTAGGAAAAACAAAACAAAAGTTAGAATCAGTTTCTGAAAAGCTGTAGATTTGGCGGATATCATTAACGGATCTGCCGTGGTTTCGTCAGATAGTTCCAAACTTTTGTTACAGTCTGTATGTAAAATACGATACCGAAAGTGCGAATTGCATTAATTTGAAAGTCTCTATCTCTACGATTGGTCGTACAATCAGATCTGAGCCGGGTCTGCAGCGGTCCGTGGGCCTTCCTAGTCAACGCCACGCATACAACGACAACCCCCACCACAACCACCACGACAGTGGCCGCAACAGGAACTGCAATGTTCCAATCCACCCAATCAGGAACCCACGGGAACAGGACTCGCACCGCCGGGGAACCACCGCTGCCGCCGATGCCATCTCGCGCCGGCGCTATCGTACCTGCAACAAATCACATCGAGTGTCGAAGGTTCGTACCTTTGTTGTAGTGGCCGCGACCGCGCAACACGCATATCACGATCACCGCGACGACAATGACCAGCGCTGCGGCGACTACGGGTACTACTAGGTTTAGGTTGGCCAGGATTATTTGGACGGTGGTGGTGTCGTTGTCTTTGGGGATTTCGCGAGCTGGGGCAATAGTACCTGAAACACACAACAAAACAACGGCACGCTAGAGGATGGGTTGTGTATTTACAGGACGAGTCGGCGTCGGAGGTAGTACTGTTGTTGCTCGTACGTGTTATATTATTTTTGTCACATGTTTGACTTCCATTTGGTTTTGTGGTTTTGTCAATATCTTGATATAGATCACCGCCACTTGCTAGTATTAGGCGCATTAAGGAAAAGTCAATTTCAATCATGAACCACAGACACAAAAACTTACGAGCAACTCAACAAAAGCTCGTACTTCGATTCCATCTAGTCTAGTCGCCAAGGCAAACGTGGCTGAACCTTAGTGGGCGTACTTGATTTTAAAATCATTGCATATGTGTTTTTCACGTAGAAAATGTGGTTGAATAATATAGGCATTTTTTTATAAAAAAATACTGCCCTCAGGTTTGAAGTTCGATAGAATTATAATCATTAATTAGAAAGCTTCTAAAAAAATGAAGAAACGATGATCTGTTTGATATTCTTCATACCTGGAAGTAAATGACAGGTATTGTTGCCTGTAAAGTAGCATTACATTTGTTAACATTACAGATTCAGCATTGTTAATCGAATATTGTTAAATATGGGTGAATCAACTAACCATTCTTCGTCAACCTCCCTCTTAACTGCATATTTAATTTTGATTGTATTTTGATTTAAAATAGGTCTCCCCATCATTGTTAACTATTTTTTGCGAACTTCATCAATATATGTACTTATTGATATGTAGACGACAATAGTGTATTCTCCATCTAGACGAAATTGCATTTTTAATAGACTCTAATAACATTTAATCCTCTGCATTTCACACCGAGAGAATAAACATTTGATATTTATTTTGGATACCATAAGGTTATTTTCCTCATATCTGATGGGTGCCTAATCACCTAACAGAGTAGAGTCACGTTTTAAATGGCATCCCAGAAACCATTACGTCACAACTTGGATGCGAAATTTTCAGTTTGAATTTTGCAGTGCAATTTTTTCCACTTATCGTTAGTAAAAAAATTAAAACGAAACATATTATTATTCTGTAGAAATACAAATTTTGAAAAATACATCACATAATATGTCCAACATACAACAAAAGACATTGATATGTGACTAAAATTTTCGCATCGGTGGAGTGTTACCATGATGGTATGTTTCAACGCAACCTTACATCCTAATATGAAATTGACCTTTTTCAACGGCTCAAAAATGAGTAATAAAGTGATGAGAGATTTATTACTATATATTTATATGTTTTTGTAAAACTAGATAAAGATATATATTTCAAAAGTATCAAGTGAACAGAAGATAAAATAGAAAATATCGAAAATGAGAGCAATGTAGAAACTAGCTGGAGGAAACTTAAGAAAAATATTCTAGACGCTGCCCGAGAAGCACTTGAAATGAAAATATCAAACAAAAACAGAAATTGGTCAACGAAAACACCATGGTTTACACTAGAGGTTAAACAAAAATGTCACCAAAAAAAGAAAGCTTTCCTAAAATATGTCAGATAAAACCAATGAATCATATGAAGAATATAAAAGAATAAGAACTGAAACTCATCAATTGGTAAGAAAAACAAAAACAGATTACTGGGAAAGATTCATAAAAGGACTAGAGATGGACTTCTACGGACAACAGAAACAAGTATGGCGCTTCATAAGACAACAAAGAAGCGAAATGAAAGAACTAGATGAAATAGAACCCATAAAAGAGGATACTTGGGTGACCTTCCTGACAGAAATGTTTAAAAAATAAAACGAAAATCTTTACCAGAAACGCCAAATATAATAACTGATGAAAAGACCGAAATCTTCCAAGAAGATGTGAAACAAGGAATAAATAAATTAAAAAATTAGAAGTTCACCAGGAGAATGAACTCTTAAATGGAGGTGATTGCCTTGTACAACAACTGCAACTCCTTATTCAAAAATAATCACCATGAACAGAATACCAGATGAATGGAGAAGAGCGATCATGCTGACGTTCTTCAAGAAAGGAAATAAGATAGACCCCAATAATTATCGAGCAATAAATATGTTAAATAAACGAATGATTAACTCTGCAAGAGGAACAGCAAGGATTCCGGACAGGAAGATCATGCACGGATGCAGTTTTTGTAGAAAAGAAAAGTCGCGGGAATACAACAAACCAGCATATAGGTGTATGGGCCTGATAGATTTGAAGAAAGCGTTTGATAGAGTCAGAATTCGGGACGTGTTACATGTATTATATGACAGGGGAATACCACTTTATGATTTAGATGTAAAGGAAGACTCTAGCAACCTATCAAGTATGAAACTGGCATTAGACAAGGAGATTCGCTGAGCCCACTAATATTTAAAATGGTAATGGGTGAAATCATACAGTTAAAAAAAGAAGAGGATATAGACAAAGATTAATTAAAGAATTCGAAGATATGGCGCTCATATACAACATGGTGATTTCAACAGAGAGAACTAAATCGATAGAATATCAGCGGAACCGAGACGATGTAAACTGGTCGTACATAACAAAATAATATAACAAGTGATAGAGACGAAATACTTCGGAATCAAACTGTCAAGCTATGGAAAAGTGGAAGAAGTACAAAAACAAGTGAACATGGCGAACAGAGCAGCAGGATGTCTCAACAATACAATCTGGAGAAACAAATACCTCACAACGGAAACGAAAACTAGGATATATAAATCAACAATAAGACCGATAATGACGTACACAGCGGAAACAAGAGCAGATACGGCGAAAACAAAACGATTATTGGAAACAGCAGAAATGAAAGTCTTACGCAAAATAATAAACCAAACTCTAAGAGACAAAGTAAGAAGTGAGGAAATATGAGCGAGATGTGGTATCGAGGAAACAAACCTGTGGACCAAAAGAAGAAAAATAGAATGGAATCAACACATAGAAAGAATGACAGAAAATAGAACAGTACGAATAGCACGAGACAAATCGCCAAATGGAAGATCAATGGGACGACCGAGGAAAAGATGGTCAGACAATATTAATTGAGTCTAAAAACCGAAGGAAAACAGGCATAAGGCTATTAGTAAAGTAGGAAGAAGAAAAAGTATCGAGGTAGATGGGTCGCAGAGAGGTGAGGGAGTGATTATCTACTGTATTCATATGGAAGATTATTGTATAAACTTAGCAGCAGTATAAGAGAATCTCTTTCTGAAGAGAGACGTAAAGTATTTAAGTATAACTAATAATTGCCGATTTCTGGTAGCCAAGTTATTGATATTTTCATATCTGTTGAGTTTATTTGAAAGATATTCTGGTTTTTTATTCACTAGAACTTTATGAAGCAAACATAAGCTTTGGCATTTTCTGAGATTGTCCATGTTAATTTTATAATTCTCTTTGTATAGAGGGCTTATATGATCAAATTTCCATATACACTTGCCCAGTACGAAGCCCCTGAAATTATAAGAGCATTTTCAGTTTTTGTTTAATATATTTCTTTGGCGATATATCTGTTTGATATTACCATATGATTTTCAACGTAATTCTTTAATATGGAAATCAAATCTTGATTCATTGCCAAACCATAATCCTAAATTTTTTGCTAATGCTTACGATCTGTAATGGAATTTTATTAATTGCTAATTGACAGAGATTTTCTGATGTATTATGCTTGTTTCTTGTCCCAAAAACATTATTTTAGATTTATTAGCATTTATTGTCAAGTTATGAGCTGCTGAGATATTGAAAAGTAAGTCCAGATCGTTGTTAATTACACTAAAGGCCTGATAATCCGTAACGAGCAACAACAGATTCTGGGTGCTTTTTCTCTAAGGGGTTAGTATATAAAGAACAAGACATGTCATACTTCAGATGGTTAGTAATATCACAGTCTGTCACTCCATAATTGGAGTCTGGTCAGATTTATCACATACTTTTAGGAATGCAACGAGTGCTTAAATAGCCACAGGACATGTAAATTCCAGTGTTTAGAGTGCAAAATATGTCGAGTGATTATGATAGTGTCAACAACTTGCTTTCAAATGACGGTGACAAATATAAAATTTACGAGATTTTGTTTGAAACCATGCTTGTAGTAGTATCCAGAGCAAAGCTAGGATTCCGTTAAAACTTAATAAATCTGACATTTCTTCAAACACTACTTTTGATAACAATACAACATGCAAGATCATTGTACTTTGTAGTGTTGCAGACCGCAAATTGCATTGTGACCAAAATTCAGAAATGTTTCAACAACAAACACATATAGCAAACATCTAAGAAAACTTCAAATTAGGAAGATTGAAGGAATAATTGAGAAAAACTTAAATACTGTAACAAATATGACATGTTTGTCTAGAGTCATATCGTTCAGCCACTGCAATTCTTTATCATTTTTCAAGTATTTTAGAAATGTGTCATAAGGTAACATACTAAAAATAGTTTATTTTTTATTAAGCTGTGGCCAAACAATAAAAAACAACTAAAGGATCCTGGATATTCAAAATCAGTCAGCAACTGAAGTCTATTTTCTCTGAGACTTTGATCATTTGCAGCGCCATGTGTTATATTCAGGTACTATTGCTTTCATAATTATTGAGCAGATAGATGGAATGGATATTTTTTACAAGGAAGCTGATAATGCAATTCGATACCAAAGATGTAATCTTCAATCACATAACAAAATCTTTATTTAAAATGTTTTTAACTTAAGATATAAAAATCAAACATGAAATTGTTAAGGTGTGTTTAGTTTCGGATGTGTTGTGTGTTTTGAATTTGTTTGGGAGACACATTCTAAAAATGTTAAATTTTTGCGCATAATGTCTTCTTTTTCGATACTTTATCTATTATTAATGGTATTTATTTTTCAATTTTGAGTAATAGTAGTATTTCGGACCTAGAAAATAGCTGATGATAACAGACTGAGTACTTCGAAGTTAGCAATGATACATGTTTCAATTTTATATACACGCCTTATACCTCAAAATATCTGGACTAAGTCTAATCGTCCTTTTAGCAAATTTCCCCGAAATAATTCTAAAGTCGGGTTTTATTGATGCAAGTTGTTAAACCTACTTGAAATTCTGCAAATGCGAAGTCTTCATACTTCCAAACCATTCCAAAAGATAATTGTTATTTTTATGCGAAAAACGAAAGGTTACGTTTTGTCTTCTAAACAAATGCAAACATTCCGTATTTGTGAGTAATTGAACAGATTCGCTACGATATTCGAAAGATATACGGTATTATATACATTTTAAAACAAAGCGGATGAGTGTATCACCTTTTGTTATGAAGAAAATATATTTTTTAAGATCTCCTCACAGTATTCAGAGCTGAAATTTTTACACGGTCATAGATGAGCCTCAAAGTTTATAAAAAAGATATTCCACAATTATGTTTTAACTGTCTACTAGTTAATATGTAACTAAATGGCTGCATTATTGATGACTGCATGACAAAGGTCACGTAATCCAGTTTCTTTACGAAAAAATATAATTCCCAGGACTTTATTCCAGAAGTATTAAAATTACTTACGAGTTACTTACGAGTACGAAATGCTTGTGTTTGTTTAGAAGAAAAAAACGTAACCCTTCGTTTTTCGCATAAAAATAACAATTATCTTTCTGAATGATTTGTGATTCACGTCAGCAAGATAAATTCGTGTATTTTGTTATAAAATGCCCTTTAAACGAACCCTGTATTGCTCAGTAAACTAGTAGTGATGGCCAAAAGACAAGTGTTTTGGCATAAACGATTAGAAATTTTCAAATACGACTTGGCCAATCGACTCCAATTTTGTTGTGGTTGTTTAGAAGTAGGAAACCTTCGGATTTGAAGCAACAAGTGCCAAAACCTGCATTTTGCCTCGGTTTTCGGCCATAACTTTTTTACTATTAGTCGGATCTTTTTATGTATAGTCTCATGCTGTAGGTCTCGTAAATGCCTAAAAATCTTATCTGAAGAGTTTTTCATTCCTGTTAGCGCTTTCAATCGAATCCCAAAAAACACGTTTTCTCATGCTTTGTTGTCGAATAAATGTTTCTCACAAAAATTGGCGTAGCCATTTTATGCGTCCATGTTTTGAATACCTCATTGAACAACTTGCATCAATAAAATCAGACCTTGCAATTATTTCGCAAACCAGCGGTATTTTCGTCTAAACCAAGTGGTTAGTGATACTAAATTGTATAGTAGCAATATTTACTGGAACGACAATGTAGATTATCAATTTCTTTCGATATTTGCGAAATTTTTATGATGAATAGTTGTATACCTAATAAACATCTCTAGGGTATTTTTATGGATATTTATGATTTTCTCGCTGGGCGTGTCAAATTATCAACTTCAGTCGATATTTTTGAAATTTTTATAATAAACAACTATACCTAATAATCATCATATCTAGGGTATTTCACGGCTATTTGTGATTTTCTTTCTGGAAGAGTCAACAAACATTGGCAAAATTGCGTAAAAATAATCGAGTATGACATATTACTATGATATGCCGATACTGAAAGCGTTGAGTTGGTGTTGTGTCAAGTTGTGTGAGTTTTGATGTTTAGCCATGTTTTGTGATTGACAAATTACATCTCTGCCTGTAGCTATATATATGTACATGATGGTGTCAGGTATTTATAAAACAAGTGCTGCAAACATAAAACGAAACAAAAATAAAATAAAAAACACAAGACAGTAATGCTATGTCCTTTAATTGTTCTTTTTGAGTAAACGTACGTATATGTTAAAAATGTCTTCACCATCCACATTTGAACCTAAACAATTTAAATTCAAACTGTGAATAACACAATACAACTTTAATAAAGTTTGATCAGTGTGGTAATTCTTTCTATGAACGAATGTACTGATCTTAAAGTAAATTAAAGGACTTGGGACTATATACACACCCATCCAAATAAAAAATAAAAAAGCAGGGTATAAAATAAAATGAAGCACCTATGTATTTATGGCCATGCCACCCTTAGGTCTAAGTCCACCAGAAATTGGTTATGCTCTAGTGCAATTCTTGATACAATGTACTACTGCTTTCTAAGGGTGCCATGATATGAAAATCAGGTACTTTTTGATGTGAAATTACGTTAAACACTACACAAAAAGCACCTGTCTCGCAACATACGCAATGATAGGGAGCAAAATACAGAGCAACAGGACTTACCTCCGGTGACAGTTAGTGTAGCAAACTCATACTCAGCAACCGTAAATCCAGCGTTGTTGTGAGCCGTAACTCTCAAATGGTACCACTGAGCTGGGTCCAAGTCAAGAAGTACAAAGTTTGCCCCTGGTTTTACGTTATTTGAGACTTGGATCCATTCAGTACTTGTTCTAGAATGGAAACAAAGTAACAAAGGTTAGCTTCCAACCACCTGGCCTCTTATTTGTTGACCGAGGTGGTACCACCCGGCGGATACAGCTTTAGCAGTGAGAAAATGAAATTTGAATATCTTATCACTGGTGGTTTTTGCCAAATCACTACTTACTTTTTCTTCTGTTCAATGACAAAATACAACATAGGACAACCTCCGTCAGACCAAGCGTTGAGGTGCAGGATGATGCTGTTTGAAGATACTTCAATGAATTTGTCAGCACTGGGGATAATCGGTTTTTCTCCTCGAGTTTTCGGGGTCAGATTGTCGGACGAATCACCTGTTCCAATACTGAAATATAACATTAACAGATATTAAAGTAGTTTTTTATACAATCGAAATCAACTGTTACACTGACAGGTAATTTCAATGTTCCAAATTTTCACTTTGTGGGTAATTTTTAACGTAGGAAAACTGCTGTAATAAGTTGTCTTGATGTATTGAACCTCAAACAGTGCAATAGTGTTTTGAGTGATAATGGAAGGCTGTTAGATTTAATATTATCAAATAAAACTTGTGATACTTTGCCAGTGGTACCTAAAGATATCTCCCATTATCCAGCTCTTGATGTATGTTTTGAAAATATTAATGTTAGCCCTGACACACTTCCCTTTAGGGATATTAACATGTATATATAATTTCCGAAAAACAAATTTTACAGAGCTGTATAATACTCTCCTCATTGCTTTTCTTTTTTAGATAACTTCTCAGATGTTAACTTAGCTATTGTTGAATTTTATAAATTTGTAAACTCCTTATCTTTGATACATACTCGAATGTAAATCCTTTAGTTATAATTACCCTTCGTGGTACACCAGTGAAATTATTAGGAACGTCAAGCATCAAGCAAAGTTATATAGGAAGTACAAAAAGAGTTGCAATAACCATCTACTTGAACGGTACAAATGTCTTAGATTTGAGGTAAAGCGTCAAATATCTGTGGCCTATACAAGTTTTATAAATAATGTTGAGATATCAATCACTCAAGTTCCTACATATTTTTGGAGTTTCATGCATAAAAAAAATCGGACTGCTAGGATTTCTGGTAAAATGTTGAATGACGTCTCACTGACATGCATTTGTAGATTCTTTTAATAGTGTTTTTGTTGATCCATCTACTCGTAATGATTTTACCTAAGGTAGGAATCATATTAGTCGAGTTAACATATTTTTCAATGACATTCATGAAAATGAGGATATTGCTGCATCCAAAAACTCAAGAATAAAGTAACAGTCGGCCCAGACAACATTCTTGTCATTATTAAAAATATTCAATCTCACTATAGTGGATTGCTACTGCAGTTTTGTAAATGAAGTCTATACTCCCTTTAGTAGAATAACTGTGATACTCATTGTTTAATACAATAAAATTTTCTAAGTGATGTAGTAGATGATTTTTTAGCTTGACTATTAAAATGAAAACCACGTAGGTTATGCATTTTTTATATTTAACCGTTTTAGTTCAGCATACAATTTATTCTAATATATCTATTTTTATTTAAGATGATTCTCATAGCTTTATTTTGTAATATTTGTAATTTTGAAAATACAGGTTCGTTTGAAATGAATAAAATAGTTGAACAATATAACATATGAGATAGTGTTGTAGACATTTTTTTCAGAATAAATGCTTAGGCTATGCGAAATTCTATAGAAGTAATTTATCTTCTTGGATATTTTTTAAATAATATATTCATAGGGCCCTTCAAATTTTAATTTACTATCTAAGTATATGCCCAAATATCTGAATGATTTGATTGACACATTTTTTTATTATTAATCGTAAGTATTATATGGTATTATAGTAATTTTGCTAAAGCGTTCGATATGTGGACCATGGCATACTTTTAAATAATCTTTTTTATTATGGATTCCATTCATTAGCTTTAGCACTCATTCAATGTTATCCTATTGAAAGGAAGCAACATGTTACTTTTAATGGCTTCAAGTCATACCAGTATGTAACTAAATCGGGAGTGCCTCAAGGTTAAAATTTTGGTCCTTCATTATTTACCTTATTTATTGATGATATGGGCAAGTTCTAATAAACTCATCGTCGGGGATGATTTAAAGTTATTCAGGATTATTTAGTATGAGGCTTATTGTATTGCATTTCAGCGCGATATTAATGCTTTAGTAGGCCTTAGTGTGACGAGAATAATTTTTTTAATGCGTCCAGGTGGTCAGCTTTTCCAAGAAAACGTCTGTTTCTAAAGTTAATTATAAGATTGGGGATATTTACATAAATCGTTATAACACAATTAAGGACTTGGGTATAGTTTTTGACCATAAACTTAATTTTTTACTCCAGATATCTCAAAAGTTGAGTGAAACTTACGGGCGAACGGTTTTATTGTGAGAAACTGCAGAAACTTCAGCCGCTCAGAGTCACTGTTGGTTATGTTATTGAAATATGCATAGTTAATTTGGAACCTAATTTACAACTGATACATTGAGTCTCTTGAGCATGTTCAGAGAAAGATTCTAATATACATGTGTGAAACTTTCAATGCCATATCTAATTATTGTGATAGACGTGCTGACAGTTTGAACAGCATTCTGGGAGTAGCTAAGAATTATTTAAACAATTTATGATACGTTGCTCATTTGAGTGAAATATCTTTTTTGCTTCTTTTTCTTGTTTGTTTTTTCCCTCAGGTGGAATCACATGATTTTTGTATGTTTTCTATTTTTGTTAGTTTGATTTATCTTTTTCTTACGATTGAAGTTTCTCAACTGTTGGGCGATAAACGCTATGTATTTATTTATATGTATTATATTATATTATATTTTTATAATTTTAATTATGGCCCAAATTGCAGAAAGCCGTCGACATCTCGAAGTGGAGAAAGTACACGTAAATTTACCTTGAACACCATTAAACACAAATACTCACCTGTTGTAAGCAGTCACATACAATTGGTATCTGGTACCACAGAGAAGCTTATCGATGGTGTACTTATCAGTACTGGGACCAACTTCAACCTTTTCCCAATCTCCAAATTCTGGTTTATAATGAATGGTGTATCCATGAATTGATTCGGCATCTGCTTCGTGAGGTTTTATTTTGATCGTGAGCGAATCAGTGGTAGTGGCAATCAGCTGGACATTTGGTGGATGAGGTGGTGCATTTACGATAAGTTGATGAGTTACAGAATCTAAAAAGAAGTAGTAAAGAGCGAATGGAATAAAACAGGTTGACAGAAATGGTTCTAAAGTCAAATATCTTCATTTGGGATAAGTGTTACGATTTCATAAAGTGACGGCTACAAAGAGTTTCGTTAACATCCGGTCTTAAATTTGGACTCACCTTGACCATAGTCATTTTCTACTTTACAAGAATATTCCCCTGCATCTCCCCTGGTGACGTCACGAATGAACAAAGAACCATCTGGGTGTTGCCTGATTCGGTCGTTGTTGTTGGCCGAAAACTTTTGACCTTTGATGGTCCAAGTGATGGCAGGTGCTGGAACTCCGACCGCAAGACATGGCAAGGTCACGTCTTCCTTGTAAGTGGTCACGAAAGTGTCGTCGAAGGAAGCAGTCTTTGCAGGCACTAAAAGAAAAACGATTAGGTTTCAAGCGAATATATTAAGTATAGCTTTAACAACAAAGTTCACAATTGAGCAGCAAGAGATTGTATAAAGAGTCCGTCTAGTAGATTTTGAAAGACGCGACAGAATTTAGTTTCATGATGCTAGAGAAAGTTTTTACATAACAAGCAACTCATGTAATAGACACAAAGTAGCGGTTGTACCGATCCGTTCTTGATGTATAGTGCTCGTCCAAGCAAGCTCTTAGAATTGCCTATACGGGTGTCTATACTACAACTATTTAAAACTGTAATGACTCATACGCGTGATCAACACGTGATCAGAGCTCGATCCCGGCTTCCTTCCAGTACAGCCGTATAGCGTACGACATATGTCGTTTCTGTGGCTTTGCGGTGGTCAACAGCACAGACAGAGATGGAAATAATGGCTGATTGTTCTCCGCCGGTAGAACCAATGAAATCAAAGACGCGCCTCGACCGGCAGACTCATAGGCGTCGGCAAAGCATTGGAACGTGTTTCGTTGAGCGATCGCATATTGTGTTTTTATAAGAATTGTTGTGTGATTGTTATTGTTGTGGTTTCTGTGGTTACTGTTTTGGTTATACTTAACCATGGAGAGTACAAATGGCACGAGTGGAAGTACTGAAAGCCAGGAAACAAGTAGACGGCTTCGTAAAGTACTGAAGAGGGACGCGAAAGAAATCGTGCTCAACGTGTTCAATTATCTGAACAGAACTATGTCGCAGGGAGATGCACTCGCGCGTTGTGAAAGTATGACATGCGTTCCATAGTGGACCATTCGCAGGGTGGTGCATGAAAAGAAGAAAACTGGAGCTACTACTGATCCAAAGTTTAATTTGAAGGGACGAAAGGCCGTTAAATTGGATGACGATAGCAAAATGGCGTTAAGGCAAACCGTACATTCATTCTTCTTTAGGAATGAGATACCAACCCTCAAGGCTGTACATGCAGCGATCAAGGAAAATGAAATTATACCCCAAATGAGCGTCGAGGTAATGAGGAAATCCCTGCACGAAATTAATTTTCGTTACGAAACGCGTAATCGGAAGTCAGTATTGATAGAGAGACCTGAAATAGTCGCCTGGCGTCGAAAATACCTACGCGAAATTATTGAATATAGGCGACAAAGCAGAAAAATCTATTATTTGGACGAGACATGGGTAAATGCAGGTCACACAGTTAAAAAACCTGGATAGACAAAAACGTAGTGAGTAACCGACAAGCAAGCATTGAAGGTTTGTCAACAGGTCTTCGTGGACCGTCAGGGAAAGGTCAAAGATTGATCGTAACTCATATTGGTAGCGATAGTGGCTTTTTAGAAGAGTGTGACTTGATTTTCGTCTCTAAGAAAGTAGGTGATTACCATGACGAAATGAATGCCAGCTGCTTCGAGAGCTGGTTTCAAGGGGTGCTTAAGCGAGTTGAGCCCAACTCTGTGATCGTCATGGATAATGCTTCCTACCATAGTCCTCGAGCCGAACGTGTACCGACTATGGGATCTCGAAAAAGTGACATGCAGCAATGGTTGCGCGAACAAGGAATCCCGTTTGACGATTCATGTGTGAAAGCGGAATTGTATGAAAAAATTAAACAGCACAAACCTGCGAACATTAGTTACGTGACTGATGTGTCAATGTGGTGTCACTGTGCTGCGGTTACCGCCCTACCACTGTGAACTGAACCCAATAGAGCTCATCTGGGCTCAAGTGAAGGGTTATATTGCGCGCCAGAACACAACCTTCAAATTACCAGACGTTAAGGTTTTACTTGAGACTTCCATACAGCTAGTAACGCCCGAAGCTTGGCAGAATGCTATCCGTCATGTTGTGAAGGAAGAAACAAAAATGTGGCAGCTTGACCACCACATCGACACCATCATAGAGCCAGTTATAGTCAATTTCAACGAGGAAAGCGATAGCGACAGTTTATTACTGTCAGATGTAAGTGGCAGCGACGATGAATAAAGGTAATTCCCAATTTTTTTACTTAGAATATGTTTCAAACCACTTTTTATTAAGCATGTGACAAATCTAGTTCACCCATGTTGAACATTCATACCCCGCCTATGAACAGCCGACTACTGGTAGTTAAGTGATGTTCACGTGAACATCGATGAGTCATTACAGTTTTAGATAGTTATAGTATAGTGGGAAAGTTCACTTTTTGATTTAAGCAAAAAAATGACAACCTAATGGAAAGAAAATATTTATAACTATCAACATATTCGTAAATTCAACGGGTTTTCATTCCGTCGAAATCTGTGCCATCCCTTTGGACACACTCTTCTAATCGCGCGCGCAAATTCTGAAACACTCTCTTGCAGAGTTCCGGAGTGATGTTGATTATTTCTCGTCGAATGTTGTCCTTAAGCTCCTCCAGTGTTCGTGGATTATTGGAATCCACTTTTGATTTTAGATAACTCCACAAAAAATAATCGTATGGCGTGAGGTCAGGTGACCTAGGAGGCCAGTGAATGTCTCCAAACTTTGATATAACTTTTTGAGGAAGAAGTGCTTTCACCCTGTCCATCGGTTCTTTGGAAGTATGGGCAGTGGCCCCATCCTTCCTGTTGAAACCGTGTGTTTCTATTAAATCGACGTTCTGTTCTTACAATAGGAGCAAAAAAAGGGTCAATCATGTCCTTGAATCGCTCGGAATTGACTGTCAATGCATGAAAGTTTTCATCTTCAAATAAACACGCCCCAATAATACCGCTAGAGGATATGGCGCACCAACTTTGGACTATGTAGCTGTTGTTCATGTTTCTCTTTTGGGTTCGTTGATACCAATATCTAAAATTTAGCTTGTTCACATAACCGTCTAAGTAAATATGGCCCTCTTCACGTCAAACAACGTTCTCGAGTCTGCGCTGCGTAGGAAAAAGATTCATCATCCGTTCAGCACTAGATTTTCGTAATACGTAATCACTTCCCTTTAAAGCATGGACTAATTGGATTTTATAAGGATGAAAACCCATTTTTTTTTCATTATGCTATGCAGTGTTGACCTAGGGATTTCCAAAGCAGCGGAATGCTTCCGTACAGAACGCCGAGGATTTACAATGACCGAATCACTTTCTCGACGCATATTTTCTTCGGTTGGTACAGTAGGTGTGGGGTCGGAAATGGGTTGACGGAACCTCGGAATCTTGTATCGTGTACAAAATTTCCGAAGGGCAGCTGCGTATGAATCACCACTCTTAAAGTGAGCCTCTATAGCAAAAGCACGTCGCGCTCCGGTCCAACGTTCCATTGTGACTATTTAACCCGCACGCCGAACGCGTCGATCAAGACCTCTCCCCTCTTCCTCGCTTATACGGTTGATTTGAAATGTAAACTTTCCCACTTGGAGTATTCACTTACCACTAGTGCTTGGCGATACAGTGACTTTCTTTGAAGGCTGTCCTTCACCAATCGTTGTAGCCGCAGTAACCCAAAATTCGTATTTCTTGTCGCTGTCCAAATTCTTGGCCTGGAAACTCAGATTCTGGTTCCTGATATTCGGTACGATCTTCTGAGAATGCGGTTTGGCGTCAGTACCGGCTTCCTTGTAGTATACCATGTAGTACTCGATAATGCCGTTAGGTTCAACTGGTGGCTTCCAGCTTGCAAGAATCGAGTCGGCTGACATCACCAAGGCTTTAACGGCGGTAGGAGCCTCAGGTACTAAAATTTACAAAATTCAGTATATCACTCTTATTGAATTATGTTAGTAATTTGTCAAAATGGAATATAGCACAACGCATCGTACTACCGCTAAAGAAGTACGATGAACAGTGGCATACGATGAGTTATGCTACTCTTCCATTTTGATATAGAAATGAAAGGACAAATCACCATCTTGTTCCGTTTGACAGTGAATGGGTGCTGTTCGTACTCCATCTCCTCCAGAAGTGTAAGCCAAGATCTCCATACTGTAATTGGTGTACTTCTTCAGTCCATGCAAGATAGTTTCACTAGAAGCCGTAATCTTTGTATCCTTGGTACTCTCGTCTAGAAAAAAAATGATCGCTTCAAAATGTGATTCTAAACTACAAACTATTTTACTAAAACAAATTCATTATAAAAAAACTTACCATACCAAGTGTCGGATGGCCCATAAATAACCTTGTATCCCTTGATGACGCCATTTGCTGAAGTAAGAGGTGGAGAAACCCAAGAAACTCGGATGGTTTGAGCAGTCAGTGTGGTGCAAGTTGCCTTCTCCGGAGGTTGTTTAGGGGTTCCTTCTGCGGTGGTAGCTTTGAACTCCTCCGAAGTTGGTCCGGCTCCTACTCTGTTGAAAGCTTGTACCACCACGGAGTATTGAGTGTAGGTCTTCAAACCGGAAATCTGAAAGGAAGGGAAACCACCACAGGATAAGTTTTAGAAAGGGCAAGATTTAGTTGGCCAGAACATTTTTCTACATACAAAGTAATACATTTTCCCTACCTGTTTATAAAGATCGATGCACCTTTTTGTGAATTCATTTTTAATTACTTGCTTTGTTGCTATTATTACTAAATTTGGTGATGAATATTACCTTGAGATGGTGCTCCTTGTTCTCTTCTTCCCTTTGGAATTCGACAGTCTCAAAAACAAACGGTACATCAGCATTGGAGAGCTTGTATCCAACATAGTATCCTTGGATTTCACCGTTCCACTGATCTTTCTGGGGTGGTTTCCAATAGACTACAAGTGTATGCTGATCAGTTGCGTCGACTCTGATATTTGTTGGTGGACCACTTGGAACCTAAAATATTGGAGGTAAAAGGTTTCGAATATATTTTCATTCTTGTTAATTTACTTCTGTGCCAAAAGTTCAAAATTCTCAGCTGTATACAGATATGCGGCCGATTAATGTCTTGCCCGATCTCGAGATGTTCGAAGGGATAATATACGAACACATCATAGAATTCATTGAAGAAACCAAAATTTTGATAAAAAATCAAGCTGGATTTAGAAAAAAATGTTCCACCGAAGCGGCAATCCAAATGGTGGTGGAAGATAGATAGATAGATGGATAGACATTTATTTCCAACAAGTACATGTGCACCCAATAACAGGAAATGCGTAAAATCAAATGAACATTTCGTTTTATGTAAAAGAAAAAATATAACTAATGTTATATAAAAATAAACACTTGAATAATATAAAAAAAGATATTTCGAAAAAGTTACATATTAAATGTGAAAAATAGAACTATAAACTAACGAGATAGGGGAAAAATTGATGTCACAGATGTTACATATCAAATTAAAATTGTTATAAATTATCGAAATAGGCGAAGACTGGAGAAGAAGTATAGATGAGAAAGAATATATTGTAACAGTATTTTTAGACTTCAAAAGGGCATTTGAGACTATAGATAGGGAAAAATTGTTAATGAAATTGCGTCACTATGGCTATAAAGGATTAGTATTACACATTTTACAAAATTATTTAGTAAATAGAAGACAAAAAACTGACGTTGGAAATATTATGTCAAGTGTTCAAAATATATCAGTAGGGGTGCCACAGGAGAGTAAATTAGGGCCGTTACTATTTACTACTTATATAAATGATATCTCTGACATTTTAGAACACTGCAAAATTCAAATATTTGCGGACGATACACTTATATATATATATATATATATATAGCACATAAGCATTTGGACACTGCTTTAGAACTGTTAAATAGTGATATTGAAAAAAATATGAATTGGTTAAATGTCAATAAACTTAAATTAAACACTAATAAAACAAAATGTATGCCAATAGGCAATCCTTTAGATGACAGTACAATTAGGCTCATGATTAATGATGAAAAAATTGAAGTAGTCGAGTCATTTAAATATCTTGGTATATATGTGAATAGTAAGATACTGTTTCTCGAACATTATGAATACATTATTTCAAAAATATCGAAAAAGATGAATTACTTCTGTAGAGTTTCCCATAATCTTAGTATGTATTCCAAAAAAATTGTGTATAATACTATAATTCTTCCCCAGTTTTTATATTGTTCAACCATCTTGTTTACAGCAAATGAAAAAATATTTTCAAAAAATTCTACAAAATAAAGCTATGAGAATCATTTTATATAACAACAAATATGCTAAGATTGAGTCTACGTTAGAAGAATTGCAGTGGTTGGATGTGAAAAGTTTCATATATTATTTAGTTCTCGTTTTCATATTCAAATTAAAAAATATTTATTACCACCACATTTAGAGAACTTCACAAAATTAAATAGTCATTATCATAACTACGAAACTAGAAGCAGTACAGATTTTCATCTGCAAAATTGTAATAGTAGCATAACTAGTAAATCTATATTTCAAAAGGGAGTATTTGAATTTAATAAATTGAATAATGATATTAAACAGAGTTCGAATTTAAAAATGAATAATCAAAATGCATAGTGACTTAATTTTAATTTTAATAGACAAGAATGTAAAATTACAGAAAATGGATTGAAGAAAAATATGTAACCGAATCATTATACAAAATTGACATTGTAGCATTAATGCTAAATAAATCTTCAACAACAAAAATATTGTGACATATAGCGCCATCTGTTGGGCGAGTCTCCTACTCGCCAGAGCATAATGGCCGATCTCTGCTTTTACACGACCGCACAAGCCGCCTGGCGGCGTCTGTGAGTACCGTGACAGTGGATCGCCTTCTAGATCGACCCGAAGTGATCTCCAATATTCCAGATGTCGCTTCGTGGTATTTCTCGCAGCGGTAATTGGGACTATATATAACTCGGCGGCCGGGAGATGGGGCAGAGTACGGAATACGGTAGAGTAGCAGAGCGGATATAAGTATAGTGCAGTCAATGGTGACACAAGAATTGATATAAATAGTGGTGCATATAAATGTTTTATCAAGTTAAATAAATTAGTGCATTTCTTTTTGTGGAATCCAGTATTCTAATCCACATTCAAAAGAACCCAGAAAAACGCTACAATATTTTGTGACCTACTCACCTCCTCAGCAGTGATGATGGTAACAGTTTCGGAAGGATCGCTAGCGGCGATTTCGTTTTCAGCGATTATTCGAATATGATATGTCGTAGCTGGCCTGAGAGTGAAGATACCTGCTTCAGTTTGATCGCCTGGTATTAAAACACGTTCACTGTTCTTGTCCCAACTTCCTTTGCTCGGTTTGTATTCGATCACATACCTGGCAAAATTGTCGAAATGAAGATTGCACAACCTTCACAAGAATATTTTGCGCAAGCCACATGCATACTTATGGATGCGCCATCTTTTATGTCGGTATGTAAACATGAAATAACTTTGAAAACTAAAAACTGATTTCAATATAGCGGGTATTTTTATTTTATTTTTACAATTTATTGGGACTAGTTTTTGAACACATCTATCAAGTGGCCACCTTTATTGGCCAAAACAAAATGTTCCCGTTTTGCTGCATTACTTTTTCGAGCATCTTTGGTGGTATAGCGGCGATTGCCGTACGAATGTTTGCCTTGAGTTCTTCAGTGGTGTGGGGCTTGCTGACGTAAACTTGACTTTTCAAATAACCCCACAAGAAGAAGTCCGGTGGGGTCAAATCTGGAGACCTGGGTGGTCAGTCAATGTCACCCTGTTTTTGACATCAGACGTCCAGGGAATTTTCGTTGCAGAAACTAGATTGTTCCATCAACCATGCGAGCGACTGTTTGGGCGTATTCCAAGCGACGTGGACGGACAGTTGGCAATATTTTTTGTGTTAACTGCAAATCATTCTTCAAAATGCGCTGCAACGTGATTTCACAATGGTGAGCGCGGTGACGATACGACACTTTTGGTTTCTGGGCAACGCTGTCTCTGACCCCTTCAGCCAATTCATTGGAACGTCTTGGTCGTTGATGAACCGTATGTTGACGATCTTCCACTGTCCCGTATACCAAATGACGGATAGCGTTGTCAGATGGTTCCTGTTTTCTGAACGACGATTTTCAATGTACATTGTGACTATTTCCGCGCGTTGTTTTGGTGTAAAGCGATTCATGACTAAAATTGTAGTAAATTGACGTTTCACAAATACGTATAACCAAATCACGCGGTTGGTAAATATCAAAGTCATTCGATGTTTCAATACCGACATAAAAAATGGCGCACCCCCAGTGCGTGGACAACATTTTCATATGTTTGCTTGAAAGAAAATATGTTATATGTCTCAGCCCTAGCGACGACTCACCAGACCTGTTTGGCGAATGGTACCACTAAACATATAGTGTGATAGTGGATATGTTATAGTCTTACTTCTTAATGGGAGAGTTTCCATCATAAGGTGCGACCCAGGACAGCTGTACACTTCTTCCAGATTTGTCCAAAACCTTAAGACCATAAGGCACTTCGGGAGCTTCTTGTACTATCATGTTGATGTTCGTGTCGTCACTTCCGAAAGCGTTGGTTGCCACACATGTGAAAATCGCAGAATCACTCCGTTCAGTCCTAGAATTTTAGTTAATCATCATTTTAGAAGTAGTGAATGCAAGTCTAATGTGGAGATTGCAAGCCATAGGCTATAATAAACCTCTTTTGAAACAATTCCTTTTACAGTTGCGTAGTACATTCACCATTATTTAATATCGAGCCTTTTTAGATTTTTGATGTCTTGGTAGTAGCAACTTCAAAGAAAAATACTTCAATTGTAGATATTGTTCAAGTCAGGAAAACAGCTAGAATGTGTTGAAGTTCTATGTATTTTTTTCTTATCTTGGTAATAAAAACCATTTTTTCTGAGACGGGAAAAAAGTTTGACATTTTATCTCTGTTGATAGGTAACAAAGTGTCACTTTTTATGAAATTACTTTTTTCCCGGATATTGTTTCGTAAATTTTCCGCGATTTAGCTGGCAATAATTTTTTGTGACGCTACTTTGGCTACTTCTACTAATTCAGGTGGAGTCAAAAAAACCTCGGAAGACATTTTTTACTTCATAGTATCAAAAATAACTTCTAAACGACCACAAAGTTCACAATTTTTGAATCAAATTGACAGCTATTTGGTAAGTTTAAAAGTTTCCTTAGCAACGCAGGTCTAATTGTCGCTATAAGTACAACATAGCATACTAATTTCAACCTTCCAATTTCACATCGATAATTTGCTGACTTAAATATTGTAATAATATATTTTTTCAATATTAAATCGTCGGTTTTCCCGTCACAGAAAAAAATTGTGTATTATACACTGGAAAACTACTAGATTTTAGCTTGAGGTTGTATTGTCTCCTGACGCGCAGCGTTTTTCCCTTGTATAATAAATACTATTATTATACGTATAGGACAGAAAAGTAAAATAGACAACCTGTGCTCCGACACAGTTGCTGTACCATTAAAAACTAGACACCCCTCACACCATGAGGTAATCAACTAGTTGGTCCTCAAATCGTGTGCCCTAAGTAGACGAAGGGAACAAAGGATGACCGCAGTCTGCATCCTTCCGGCTAAGATACTTCCCAACTAGCAAAGTAGAGCTATAAGCTTTTGGTAAAAAAAAACATTCAGCCATAAAAGCTCTCTATTGTTGTTGCCTGAACACCAAAATGCTGGCTTAATGTTGTGTGGAATGCACATTTGCTTTCTGCAACATATTTGCTCTAAAACGAGGTATTCTTTAGCATAGTTATACGAGTACAACACCTTATAGGAGAAATTTTTAACTGTTTCATAAACGTTTATACAACTATTTTATACGGCATATTTGCACGTTAGTGAAAATGGTTGTGTTGTGGCATCCATGGTAACGTTTATAAAACAAACCCGAGCCTTGTTGTTTTGCTGTGCATATTACTACTTTAGCCAACAAGTTGCTCCCAACGGAAGCACTTATACAACTGTTGTTTAGTAACTGTTAAAGGCTGTACATATGCTAAATATGTTGGTATACAACTTCACCATAACCTAACTTTCTGCTGTCATATTTTTGTTAAAATGCCATAACCAATGATTTAAGACAAACAACGCATGCATATTGGTTCAAAAGGTTTGATCAACTGTTCAAACAGAACATATAGATCTGGTACAAATTCTGGGTAAATCATTCGAATCTGATGGTATTTCATTTCAGACATTCGTCAGATTTTTGTATAACACCTGCAGGCAACACCAAAATATTCTAATAAACTGAAGACAACATGGACGATGCCATGATTATACACAACCACCAGCCATATTGGGCAAACATTTATTCCTCTATTTAATATTAAATAATTATGTTTCATAAACATAAACATTTGTGTATACATACTTTTGATCATTATCAAAATATGCATTAAATAAGAAGCCCGTAGAAATTGCGTAACTACTTTGCACGATAATCACAATAAAATTTGCTGCGCAAGTAAGTCAATAGCCCTATATCACAGTGTAGAAGTTTATCATATACCTGTGTATGAAATTCACAATGGCCGATATGTAAGTAAACAAGATGACTGTAATGTGTTAGTTATATATTATTCACTTCGTCTATGCAATATATAAGAAACAGTTTGGTTGCAATAAAGTAGAATCACGTAACAGAATAGTTGTATAGTTGACAAAAACTGAATCTTGCACTGACGCAAATGTCCTATAGCGGCTGCCCTATTAGGTGTGCCCATTCCGCTTGTATAGCTGTTCTAAGAGGGTTTTGCCTATGTTATTACAGTATACAGTGCTGTGTAAGGAATACTGTATAATCATTTTTGCAACTCTAATAGGAGTGATAATTGTTAGTTGGGTTGCCGATGCTCGGCATACCTGTATGGATTCATTTGCAGATAGCAGTGTATGCCTCATCCCATCCAAAGATCCAGTGACCAAGACTAGTAGACTTACGGAGTGGTCTGACCAGAGCCTGCGAAACTGATATTTGGTCCGTTTTTCCTCCTCCTTCGAGACGATATTCACTTCGGCCGGAGCCGAAAATTCAATGACGAACATCGCCTTCCGTTCGCAATCGAGAAGGACTATGTCGGGCTTATTCGCTTGAACCAGCTAAATCGCGGGAAACGAGTAATTCTAGTAAATCTGGCATCTCTCGTTCTCCACAAAGGACTCAATATCTTTTTTCGCGTAGGGCAGCACAAGTGTTTCATCTCTACCGTATGAGTGCCTCAAATGGTAATCTAGCACTAGCAGAGCTGCGTTGTGCCGATAGACGTAAGCAGCGCCAGCATATACTTTACACATTGACAAGAGATGCAGAAATGCCTGTCGACATGTTTTGCAGTTGAATCTTGTGAATTCTCACACATAACCGTACTAAAGTATATCAGGGTATTAAATACACCACCTTGGGAAGCTATAATGAATCCCTCAGTCTAAGACTTCAACCCACTAGACTTTAGAAATGAGAAGGTCTAGTGCTTAGACAAGCCATGCTCCTCTGTATGTCTGCAGAAGATTCCATACAAAGGTTTGTCTCTATGAAGCCTTAATAAGTAACTTGCTTCAGCAGTTTTCATGTTGCTCTTCAGTTGTTGAGTATGAGACTGAGTTCCGCAGCTGCTCTTTTCGCTGCTCTCAAAATAAAAGCGCCTCTACCTGCATTCTTGTGCTCACAACATCACAGGGAGTGCTCAGTGTCCAGTGTGCTGTCCTTCCTTGAGATGAACTATAGCGCAGAGGTCTATTCGGAATTCCATACCAATAGTACGACTATACTCATATACTCCTATACTACCCTGAGCGACTGCTATAAATCGCGTTGTCCAAAGGCGTAAAGTTGAAGACCATCCATATAAAAGAGGTGGGTGACCTTGTGCCTTTGGTTGCTGGGCGTGCTACTGCTGTATCATCTCACATTTCTCAGCGCAACAGAACGGGAGCAGTGAAATGCAGAAGAGCAGGAGACTTAAAGGGTCCCCTTGGGGGCCCCTCTTCTTAATGATACCATCTGGGTCCGAACTTTGGTTTCACGAGACGTGATTGTGAACCTAGTCCTCCAGAGCGGCATCAGTTGTTTAATCAAAACAAAAATATTATTATATTTTACTTCTGTATGGATTCTTTACCTTTTGATGCTCAAATCAGAGACAACTCCATCGGGTAAAATCTCTTCTCTGATCGTGTATCTGTTATCTCCTTTCGGTTCTAGTCGCTTGTTGTTGATATTCCACAGGATACCAATTGGCTTTTCACCTTTGGCTTCACATTGTAGAACAGCTGGATCGCCTCTCTTTGCAGTTTGGTTCCGGTATTTTACTTCGAATTGTGGTGGGGCTGTAAAAATAACATTACATAACAGCAAATCCATGAATTGGACAATCGTATAATCTTAGATGAGGGTGATCTGTGAAACAAGAGAAACCTACCTTGTACACTGATTAGGATGACAGCTGACAGTCCAGATCCAATACCGTTGTTTGCTTCACACAGATAGTAGCCTTCATTTGTCTTTTGGATGTTGTTGATCATCAATGTTCCATCTTCAACTTTAATGTCTGGATTGTTTGGTTTAAAGTCTCTATAGTCCCCAGGAGATACGCCTACAAAAATGTAGATTTTATATTTATGTATTCTAAAAGGTCAACGTTTAATACCGCATTTGATGTGAATTAACATTGCTGTTATTACCGAAACAATAAAAACAGTTCTATACTTTCTACAGATATTTTTTCAGTTTTTACTTACCGGTAGCTCTTTTCCATGTAACAACTGGTTTTGGGAAACCATCAGCTTTGCATTCGACTACTGCGTCAGAACCCTGTGCAAAAGCTTTATCGGTTGGTTCCAAAATCCATCTGGGTGGCACTAAAATTGTACAACCATGTTTAGATATTTTGCACGTGGGTCTGGGATCGAACAGAACATGCAAAGTTGTTGCAATAAAAGCCGATATTCAGGCACGTAAGTACAGTATTGTAGGAAGCCTTTCTGGCCTTCTTGATTTTCATAGTCTTTTCTCTCCTTCAGATAGGCTGGGGTATTTCTAGATTTCTACTGTTCCATGTCAGCGCTCTCGTATTGTGAGGCTATGTTTTCTTTCTGAACTGCAGGAAATTTGAGGCTGTTATAACAAATGATACAAATCAAAATCGTGAACAATTTGATGCAATAGACATTTGTAACATAACCTCAAAATACAGCGCTGACTAGGAACAGTAGACAACTATGAAAATCAACGAGGTCATAAAGGCGTCCTAGAATTATTGTAGGTACGACTGACGATACGTTCCTAAAACTTACTTGAAACATTTGGTTTTATGTGTCTGCTAATATTATATGGTCATTATAAATACATGAAAGTTACGATCACTATCTTTGTAACTAGTTCTTATTGCAACAAGTTATCATAAACTAATGAAAGTAATGAAGATAGGCATAGATCTCAGTATTTGGTGATATCGAAATAAAAGAAATAAACAAGCTGTATACAGTATTCTGAAAAGACTGTTTATAGTTATATAACTTTTGCCAATACTGCAGTAGTTTAGTCCGTATACTATAATTATCTTTAGAAACTGAGCTACGACTATCTTCAAAGCAAATATTGAGCGCGTTCCGTCATCGAAAAGCAGTCCCCCCGTTCAGCGTTTTAATGCTGAATAGCAGTTGCTGCGGATAGCGTTGCCTGTTTGACGGCAGTTTCCACTTTGCTATAAGATTTGATCGTTTATTGATGAAATAATGCGAACTGTCAACTCTATTCCACGGCTACTGTTATTCAGTATAAAAGCGCTGGACAACTGGACTTCTTTACCTTAGGCTGAACGCGCTCATTGCTTTAATTTTTCTCCAACAAATCATCAGTGAATATTTAAAAGTAGGCACTAAAGTGATAATGGTCACAATTTCCACAGGTATAAAAAATGGTGTACTGATCGAAATTTAGGTAGAAATGAACTTGGTCATTGTTTATTTGTAACCGTAATTCCATCCACATACCACAAAAGTCGATTAACTGTTGCTTACGACTAAACAGATTTTTCAAATACTTCTTTTACTATATTCACTGATATGTACTTCTACTAAATACTTAAAATAATGAATACTTTAGACATGGATTTAGTATGAAACATGTACTTTTAGCCGTATTCATTATTTTGACCACAAAATATTCTAAACAGGTTGATAGAAATACATTTCATACAGGAGACAGATTTAGTTGCTGTCCCAATTGGCTTATGCATAGTTTCTGTTGTAGATTGTAGATATGGGCATTGTCGTAAGTTCAGAGAAATATTTAAAAACAATTTTAGTTAAAGAAATCACATTATACAGTTTAAAAGCCTGTTCTCAGTGTTTCAAAGTCCAAAGACCAGGCAGGTAATAACAGACCTTGCCTCTGACTGTTTTTTTACATCTTTATGAGAAGAAATCAGTCTCCTTGTATTGGTGTAGTCCCAGTATCGAGCAACAAGGTTAAAAAAAGTTATACGGTTCAATTTAATGTTTGACATAAATAATGTAGCGTTTTCATGTTTAAAAACTATTTTCAAAATAATTGTTTCATCAGAATCGACCTGATCAAATAATAGTAGATGCATTTATTGATTTCTGAGGTTTAACTGCAGACTATAAAATAAAAATAGCCAACACAACTTTAGTTTTGAATATAACTGTTCAAATAACTCCAATATGGCGGGTGAATATATGGCCATGTCTATATTTTTCGTAGACTGCGAGTTAAACAAGTTCTTATTTTGTGAATGTATTTTCATCAACCGTTTAGTACTTATAATGGAAGAAAAGATTAATGACCACAAAATCAAATAGCATGCAAGAAGTTAAAACTAAAAGATAGTGAAGAAAGAAAAAGTGCTGGGATGGGAAGAACAGGATACTCCCTAAAAACCCCAGCTGTTAGAAAGGATCATCAGGATAGGAGAGGTTAATGTCGCTGGGGCTTGTTAGATTTGGTCCTTGATTCCATGTTTTTGTTAACTGACTCAGTGCTAAAGTATTTTATTTCATTCGTGATCAGAAGAAATTTAAAGATAGTGTCCATGATGCGCATTCGTATACTATGAATTGTTAATATTTTTATTAGAGACGTGGTGCGTATTTTTATTATTGTAGTTGTGCAGAGTTACATCGAAAGAGCCCTATATCCATGTCAGAACATGATGCTAAAGAAGACCAACCAACCCTTGTTGAGTGCTATTGATATTGAAAATCTAGAGGAATATAGAATGTTCTTAAAGAGAACAAAAGTAGGTGCCAGTTTCATGACCTTACATATTCCGAAACAGTATTAGCCCCAAGATATTGTAACATCATTTTTGGCCGTTTCGTTACTAATATTTTTGTACAAAAAAATTTCACTAATGTTTGAACGTAGTTTGAATATCTTTTCTAATATTAGAAGAAAAGCTGTTTTGACTTGTAGATGGGTGAAAGCAGGTTAAACAGTACTCAACGCAGGCTATTGCAAACAATATCCGCTGACGAAACCGTTAATGATGTCAGTAACATAGTAACAGAAGACTACAGTTAAATAACAGAAAACATCTTCTATCAAATAAGCAATTTCATGACTTATCAGAAGCTATTTCCGTATAGTGGTAGTGACACTGGTAATTCAAGAAATGCCTATTCTACAGCAGACGTTTTCAAGTTATCCCAAATTCCATCCAAATCGAGTTATTATTGTTAGAAAGAATTATTTTTCATCTCCAAGATCCAACAAATACCATAGACATCCAAAGGGGCTGTATACGACACCGATCCGGCAGCATTTGTCGCAGTGCAAGTATAGTTGCCAGCCTGAGCTTCTGAAGCTGAGTCTATCAGCAGCAAACTGGCCTTCTGACCGATCTTGGTAGGAGAGAAGCTAGTATCAGCTGCGTTTCCGTCAAAACTCCACGTTATTTTCAAAGGAAGGTCGCCTTCAGACACGAGACAGGTAGCTTGAGTCGCTTGTCCTGCATTTACTACTTGATCGCCGAACGAGAAAGGCACTATTCGGGGTAGAACTGGAAATATGCAAAGAAGAAGCCCTTAAGGAAGTAAAAGTATTCAAGTTTTTTCGAGTAATATCTTTGAATAAAACTGTCTGTATCGTTGTATATCACCTGTCGTTAGTGGAGACAATAGAATAGTTAGGATAGAGACGGTTGTCGAGTCTAGAGGTGATCAGAGTGACAACAAAATTGGAATTGCATATTAGAGTATCACATATTGACGATGTTCACAAGGACACTGTGCAGGTTGCACAATGATAGCATGTATTGAAGAAGTGTATGATCCATTACAATTTTTTACACTTAATAAAACACGCAAAGTGGCCTAGTCCTTTTACTGTTGATGAATTGTATTCTCAATGGACATAACGTCAGACAAAGGTTTAAAGCAAAAATACGTCAAAACTATTAGACTATCATTTTGTGTTATGTTATCATTCTTTAGTACTACCAAACCAATCCAAACTTAAGCATTTCGCATTCCAGTACTATAAAACGTTATCTGGATAAATTCTAACCGTTAACTTGTAATTCAGTAACATAAACGGCTTCTCCAGCTTTATTCTTCGCGTGGCAGCTATAGTTGCCAGCGTTTGCATATGAGACAGCCTCTATCGTAAGCATGGAGCTTCTTTTCCCTTTCATCACTGATATTTCAGCGTAGTTATCGATATTTTGTCCATTCAACTCCCAGTCGATGGTTAAGGGTAAGTCTCCAATGGCTACCAAGCAATTCACCTGAGCATATTCGCCAGAGTTGAGCGGGTTTCCCTCGAAATAGAATGGCGTGATTCTTGGAGGAACTGTTGACAGAATACATAGTTGAGCTGCAATATCCTCGACAGTATTGAAACACCTTCGTCAAGACTCTGACACATATTTTGTATATTTCCGCTGAAAGTATTATCTTCGGATAATCTGATCCACAGTTAGGGATGATTTTAGAGTATCCACCAGGTGATCATTGGATTTATAAAATTATTTATGGATCTAGTAGCACTGCTGGGACATTGTTCAACGCGTTGATTCAACTCTTTTTTGGTGAGCGATCATCGAATTTGTAGTTTTATTGTGTTTTGGATGCAAGAATGTTACGGAGGTTCTCGATAAATTAATATCTCCAAAGCTGCTCCACAAAGTGGACATCATTTTATTGCAAAACCAATTACATATTCTGGAAGCCTGGACCTCATGTTACTTTTCAACATAGTTCCCTTCACGATCAATACACTCTTGGAGTTTCCAAAAAAATGTGAAAGTTATGGATCTGCAATATGTCAACAGTAAGAGTCCAGCTACAGTTGGATATACAACTAGCAGCGTAAAAAAAATTAAATCTATTTATCTTATTATGATATTATATTTTAGATCCCATCGGAAACTCAGTACAAAACCCAACCACAAAAATCTGATAATCGAATTATTCTTTTCTTTTATTTCATATAATAGTATAAGTAAACCATGCTATTTGGAATCGTCCACATTTCAAAGAAACAATAACATATACATAGCAGCAAAAAAGTTGATGAAATTATCATTTAAACACTAGAGTGCATGTATCGAGCATTTGCTAAAAACATCCAATGTGAAGAATAATGTGAAAATGAACATTTAAACATCTAAAAAGCTCATATTCAATGCTGTCAAAAATATAAAAAATGGCAGTTAAAGAAAATCGCCTGCCAGACATTAGCAATGAACAAGAGCTTCCAAAACTATAACAAAACACATTCTCGCAGCAACACCAAAACTTCTACACCTCTAGTCGATCACAAATGGCAAATGCATCAAAACAGCTACTGTTTCAACAGAGTGAGATCACTTGTCAGCTAATATTTCATTTGTTTGCTCCAAATTGTGGAAATTTATTCATACTGATTCAATATGTAGTTAGATAATACGTGTTTTGAACTAAAACTCATATTTCAAAAGCATAAGTATACTTATTATTATAATAAAGATAACTTGCTTTTACTTTCTATTTGGACAGTAAAATCTAACTCTGCGTTTGGGCACGTCTAAACATCGAAGTGCGACGTTGCCATCTCATATACCGTTAACGTGCAGTGTTGCCGAGTATCTTGCCACTCCAACTTTATTTCTGGCTGCGCAAGTGTAGTTGCCAGCATGTTGGTATGTTACTGAGTCAATAGACAAGTGTGTCATTCGTTTCCCGGTACGTGACACGACAATACTGCTGTTTCCAGAGCCTTCTATGGTGCGTCCTTCGAAGACCCATTTCATGCCGATCGGCAGATCACCTCTAGAAGCTGTGCAAGTCACTGATACTGCGTCGCCGCTGTTAACAATTTCAAATTCAAACGGGGCGATCTGTGGCGGTACTGGAAACCAGAAGTTCGACTATTATTTCAGAATTTGCTGTGTTTTCCAGTAATGATAGTGATGAATGGTGGTGAGAGCCAAAAAAGGTGATGATTGATACTGATGAAGGTAGAAGAAAGAAGAACGGAGAATAAAAAGCTTATGGAATAAATGATAATAAGTAGTAGACAAAAATTATACAACCACAAGGAAAAATATGAATATTTACCATAGCGAGCGAAGCCTACTATATGAAGGTGGAAGTGGCTGACTAACACAAGACACGTAATTATCCGCAAAAACATTTAATTTGTGTTCCTTTCCAAAATTATTAAAATAAATAAAAATTTTTTTTATACAGTGACACCGATAGTTTACTATACGCCGTTTTTTATTGCTCTTAAGAAAGTGGTTGAACCAGTAAGCATCCCGTACCATATTTCTTTCATAAGATGAAGGTGGAAGTGGCTGACTAACAAAATCTTTTTTTTATACAGTGACACCGATAGTTTACTATGGGCCGTTTTTTACTGCTCTTAAGAAAGTGGTTAAACCAGTAAGCATCCCGTACCATATTTCTTTCATAAGATCAAGGTGGAAGTGGCTGCCTCACACAAGACACGTAATTATCCGTAAAACCATTCAATTTCTGGGTCCCTCTCCAAAATTATTAGATAAAAATCGTTTTTTATACAGTGACACCGATAGCTTACTATACGCAATTTTTTGTTGCCTAACAAAGTGGTTGAACCAGCAAGCATCCCGTGACCTCACTCTAGTTGAAAAAAAGTGCTTTGAATACACCGTTGCCATATCATATACCATTAACATGCAGCGTTGCCGAGTATCTTGACACTCCTGCTTTATTTTTTGCAGCGCAGGTGTAAGTTCCCGCATGTTGATCTGTCACGGGATCAATTGACAGCTGTGACACACGTTTGCTTGTACGAGACACTGTCACACTGTTATTGGCTGCTCCTTCTATAGTACGATTGTTTAATATCCATTTCATGCCAATTGGCAAGTCGCCTCTCGCTGCTGTACAAGTGACAGTAACAGTGTCACCACTGTTCACCGTCTCGAAATCGAAAGGGGCGATCTGGGGAGGAACTAGAATACAAGACACCCTGATTAGTCCGAAAACGAATTAATGAACAACAAAATGGCATAACTAACCACTAGAGATGAGATGAAGCAAAAGAAGGAGCGATAATGATGGAAGTTTAAAAGTGAGTGAGATGTAGTTTTAATGAGGATGGAAGATGAAAATTTGTAAGTATAGTAGACAGATAAATGAAACTCAAAGAGGACGCTGTTTATTGAAAATCACTTGGATACAATCGCTTAGGTAACTATGAATTGCATATCTCATTGATGAATGGCGTTGTGGTTCAATAGCTTATCAAGAAGTGTGATCTCACTCTGCTGAATGCATTATTGCCATTCTCTCCTGGCTTTTTCAAGTACCGTTTACACGTAGCGATGCAGAATATCGAGCGACGCCAGCCTTATTTTTGGCAGCGCAAGTATATGTGCCGGCATGTTGACCCGTGACAGCTTCGATTGACAGTTGAGACATACGCTTGCCGATACGTGATACGGCAACGCTACTATTTCCATAAGCAGAGACCTCAATCGTTCGATTGTTGAATATCCACTTCATTCCAATTGGTAGATCACCTCTGGCAGCTGTGCAAATCACTGACACCGCGTCACCGCTGTTGACAGGTTCAAAATCGAAAGGTGCGATCTAAGGAGGCACTGGAAGCCATAAATGTTCATCAAAAGTTGACAGAAGGCTTGAAGATACCATAATCAAAGGAGTGAAAGTAGTAGATGAAGATGATAGCAACACAGGATACACATAAGAACAAATCATATAACTAGGCGATTATGATAGATGCAAACAGAAAATTATATAGATGGAATGTGAAAGAAAAATAAGTAACGATGGAAACAAGATGACATGTGGCACTTATCAGTACAATAAAAAAGTTCGAAATAACAAGTGAACGCACTCACATAGATCACAGTGAACTGTACGGAATTGTATGGATCTAAAAGGTACACAATAAGGTAGTATCTTCAGTTGTCTCTCCCTTATTGCTCAAACGCACAACCTTCATACATGTTTGTAGTTAGTATCCAGTATCCTTTCAGGGCAATAATTTAGGCTAACCATAAATCTACCGTTCCACTAACAAGCTAAATTATAAAGAAATAGCTAACTAAAGGTTAAAGAACATTAAAAGAACGTAGTTTTAGTGGGAATAACCATTGACTTGTAGTTCTGCCGAGTACCGAGCAGTCCCTGCTCTATTCTTGGCGGCGCAAGTGTAGTTGCCAACGTGCTCGTATTTGACTGACTCAATAGATAGTATAGAGCCACGTCTACCAGCTGCTGTAACTGATATGTCTAGGATATTGTCAATAGCGTTTCCGTTTAAGTACCATTTGATTAACAGAGGCAAATCTCCTTCATTCACCGTACATATCACTTGTATGAACTCTTCTGCGTGAACAGGTTTGCTCCCAAAATCAAAGGGTGCTATCTGTGGTTGAACTGAAATTAAGTAATACCGACAGATCTTCAATATATGTCTAAGTGTTTAGATAAAAAAACGTTATTGCGTGAAAATATGGATGAAATATTTTCATGTTAATTTGCAGTGTGGCAAACTATGACCTGATTCAAGGAAATTAAAAAAAATCAAGGGGTAGGTTTAATAGGTTAAATCATCAAGTATAATTATAAACTTGTGCATAGCCATATATCTATATTGCTTCATCCATTTATACCATTCACTTGAAGCTCTGAAGTATAACTAGCTTCTCCAGCCCTGTTCTTTGCCGTGCACGTGTAGTTTCCAGCTTGTGCATACGAAACGGAATCTACGGATAGGAAAGAGCTTCTCTTTCCCACTGTTGACACTGTTACCTCGGAAAAATCCCCTAAGGGTCGATTATTCAACAGCCAATCGATTTTCAATGGCAGGTCACCCTCGAAAACCGTGCATGTTACTTGAACGAATTGACCAGAGTGGACTGGGCCATCACCGAAGTCGAAGTGCGCTATTTGTGGCATAACTGCAAGGAATTCAGGCTGGTTAAATGGAGGTTATGTTATACTTCCACTGACTTTTTAGAAGCTATTTACAAAGGGTACTATAAAAGTTTTGCAATATGACTTAGCAAACGGACGCAGAAGGCTGCATGTTGAGACATGTCGTATTGACAGTGTAAAGTGCGATTTATGCCATCGTCATCACGTAGTAAGAAAGGGCAGTTTTACGGTTTAACTTTACGCGTGTTGTAAGCATAGTCAGTGCTTAGAACAAATGACGCTTGCATTCAAGAATGATTAGAAGACATTACTGCTGTGAGGCGAAGACCGAAGAGTGACATGCCAACAGATAGAGGAGACCTTACACCTTCATGCACCAGCAAACTGCCAAAGCGCGAAAGTAAAATTTTGGATGGAAAAATATAATACGCGTAATTTCATAGCGCGAAATAGAGTTAAGATTTGTACAATATTTACGCAAAAAGATGTCGAAAACATGCATGAAGCTTTGTGGATGTACTGCTTACATTACACAAACTCCTTTTGTGGTAATTCGATGACAGTACATTCATTTATATAATAGAGAATATTTAGTGCAACAAAAATAATAATGGTTAAGCCTTCCCTTAGGTTATTTTTGACAGCGACAGCAAATAACGAATGTGGATGAAACAAAGAGTTTTATCATGGAGAAACTGCGGCAATGCTGTTCGTACTGTAAAAACGACCGCATAGTCTGACGGAAGATCAGAAGACTCGTCGTACGACTTGGTGCCGAAAGATGTTGAAAATGTTTGATAAGGGTCAATCTCGGTATGTGAACAGCATCGTGAAAGGTGACGAGACTTGGCTCTATTGTTACGATGTGCCGACCAAGGCTCAAAACAAAGTTGACAGAAAATCCTGATCTGTTAAGAAGAAAATGACTATATTTTTCAAATACAGCGAGATTGTGGAGCGTGACGTTTTCGACACACAGAAGGCAGTCACAGCTAAGTGGTACACGGAACAGTCTCTGCCTAAAGTCATAGAGTCTGTGAAAAACCTTCGGCCAAAGCCTGCACCGAGTATTTGACCACTACTGGACTAAAACTTATTGGGCACCCTCCTTACAGTCCAGATTTTGCTCCCTGCGACTTTGCACTGTTTCCTCATGTGAAAATGAAGCTAAAAGCAAAACGATGAGGACCTTCTGGGGGCTTGTGACGAGTGTGCCGCACTCCCGGATGAAGCTTGGCAGAGCTGGTTTAAGGACCAGTTAGTACTTAATCAATAAATAAAGCTGAATTGCAAAACTTTTACAGTACCCTTTGTATAATAAAATGGCAAAGGAAAATTATTGGGTTATTGTTGGGATTATTAGCGTCAACCCACAAATAGAGTTGCTGAAATAGTACAAAAATTGACAGTCACTTTCATTGAGCATCATATCCCACTTTATTTCATTTGGGGAATTCTATTCAATTTTTATGACTCAAGTGGTTTATAAGGCATAACTGAGTCTTCTATTAAAAATCTTGACCTTGATGATTAGAGAGTGTATGAAGATTAACTAGGTAACTTCATCAAATCTAATTCTACCAAATACAAATCAAGCACAGGCAAACTCAGGATAACAAGACAAAAATAACCATTGACTTGTAATTCTGCAGAATAGCGAGCTATCCCTGCTCTGTTTTTAGCAACACAGGTGAAATTTCCGGCGTGTTCGTGGCTAACAGACTCGATGGACAATATAGCAGCTCTTCTACCGACAGGTGCGACAGTTATATCGAGAAAATTGTCTAAATGTTGCCCATTCAGGTACCATTTGATAATTAAAGGCATATCTCCTTCTTTGACGGTACAATAGACTTGAACAAACTCTCCTGCATGCACTGGTTTATCACCAAAATCGAATGGTATGATTTGAGGTGGCACTGAAACAATTGATCCATATAATAAAATGAGTCGAAGAATGTCGTATGTTTACTGTTCCCTTTTACATGGACATCGTTTTTAAGCAGACCAGAATCTAGTTTTGGGATGATCAACAGCTAAGGTTTCATTAGGGTCGAATGACTAAAAACCTGTTAAAGCAAAAACGCCAAGCTCATAAAGTCCAATAACCATTAACTTGAAGCTCGGAGTTAAAAGCCGATTCACCAGCCCTGTTTCTTGCTAAACAAGTGTAGTTTCCTGCATGCGCGTACGTCACAGACTCAATTGAAAGCATGGATGTCCGTTTTCCTACTTTCGCCGTTGTTACTTCTGGAAAGTTATCTAGATTTCTGCCGTTCAGTTGCCAAGCTATTTGTACTGGCAAGTCACCTTCGCTAACAGTGCAGGTAACTTCGACAAATTGGCCAGAATGAACAGGACTATCTTCGAAACCAAATGGTGTTATTCTAGGTAGAACTTGAAGAAAAATTGAAACAATTATTACTAGATATATTTTACCGATAGCTCGTTGAATTTGTTGAGTGTTCCCTTAGATAAAAATTTTAGTATAACTAGACGTACATTTAAAATGAACATTCCTGAAAAAAAGCTAATCCCACAGACACCTTGACGAAATTTGTTCGAACCAAAGAGCGGAAGTGAAGATAATGTTGCAAGTATAGAGGAAAGAAGAACAGTGCATCCATGTATTTTAGATACCATTTTATGTGAGAAAGTTGCCTTGGAAACCTTGTTGGAGATATTTCAGGTAAAAGTGAGGGTGCAAGGTGTATGGATGAAAAATGAAGGATATTATAAGATAGGTATATTTGTTTTTCATTCGGTACCCTTCACTAAGAGAGCAGTAGAAAAGGTGCTCATCCCAGCTCGATTTGTTGCTACGCATGTGTAGTTTCCTATGTGTTCTTCTGATACGCTGTCAATAGTTAAGTACGATACTTTCTTGCTCATTGAGCCTATATTAATCCCCATTTCGCTTGTTATTGGTTTTCCATTGAGCATCCAAGTAAAAGAAATTGGTTGATCTCCTGATGAAACGGTACACTGTACTGAAACTGTTTCGCCTACAAATGCTGGTTCGTCTCCAAAGTTGAATGGGTGGATCTTTGGCGGCACTGCATATGAATAAAACAAAAACATCGGTCATAGAAAATATTTGAATTGTACCAGACTGTCAGTGTCAGAATATAGTAGCACAAGTTTTTTTCCTAGATTTAATGTATCATTTTTATAATTTATTTCACAAGACCTACTATTTTTTTGGAACTGATTTGGACTTTAGAGGATGTAAGGTGAAGAGGTAAGCTATTGCTATTAAAGAAACCCCATGCTTAAGCTTTCAAGTACCCTTAACAGCTAGTGTTGTCGAATACGTTGACAATCCGGCTCTGTTTGCAGCAACGCAGGTATAGTTTCCAGCATATCTTTCGGATACCTTGTCGATATTCAGAAATGACACCTTCTTTCCAAATGAGCCAATGTTCACTTCCAAGTCTGTTGGAATCGGTTGCCCATTTAGCATCCAGGAGAAAGTTACAGGCAAATCTCCGGAAGAAATAGTGCATTGGACTGAGATGGTTTCACCAACGAATGATGGTTCGTCGCCGAATGTGAATGGATGAATTTTTGGCAAAACTATAGAAATGCGTAAAGAAAATGTTACTGCAGTTAAAGAGTATCATTGGTTGTTATGTATACAGGGTATGGATATTTGAAAACTTCCCACCACGGATTTACCGAAAACCACTGAGAAACGCCGATACACAAATTTAGATAAAGGTTTTTCTAATTTTCTGTAAAACGAATCGACTGATTTTAAAAATTGAAAAGTCAAAGACCTTTCAAACAAGCTATCACTTGATACCCCTTGTCATTTAAAATTATTAAGGGATGACGCTAGGGAGGGGGTGTGAGGTGGTGAAGTAATTTTTGGTTAAAATGTTGTCTCCGTTGACAAATCTTTTGAAGTGTCTCGGCGTTTTTCCTTTTAATCAGTCGTTTTCGTTAAATCCGTGGTGGAAAGTTTTCAAAACACCCTGTATGTTGAGCTCGTCAAAGGAAAAGCATTGGCACAGAGGTATTGGTATGGGATATTCATTTCAAATAACAAACCACAAAAATACAGATATTCTTAAGAGACTCAATTTAGTACCCTTCACTGTAAGTTGAGCAGTAAAGCTAGCCATGCCTGCTCGATTTGCAGCTATACAAGTATAATTTCCAGCATAATTTTCATCGACAGAATCCAAGCTGAGTAAAGATGTTCTCTTGCGATAAGAATCAACGTTTGCTGACATGTGGTCTGGAATGGGGTTTCCATTGAACACCCAGGTGAATGTGATCGGCATATCTCCCTTGTTGACATAACATTGTACCTGGACACTGTCACCTCTGTTAATGTCTTCCTCAAAGTCGAAAGGTGTAATGTGGGGCAAAACTAGAAAAACGTTTATTTTGTTTTTGTGGTTGTACAGATCATGACATTGGTATAGGTGGGATATCTTAATGTAATTTCTTAGAGTTCTGAATTTGAATATAAATATGGTGGATGTCTCTACAAAGCTAAAGAGTAACTATACTCGAGGTCTTCTTAAGGCACTGTCAATCTATAACTTTGGGCACAATATATGGCGAAAGTAAAGTGGTGGGTATAGTCTCTTGGATAAATAAAGTTGTAGGGCGTTAAGAAGTCTCAAAACAGACAATCACGTGTTATAACTTGTGTTTTCTGTATCGCATGTATAATTTCCAGCATGTTGTTCATCCTCAGAGTCTATATACTCAGAACTGATGTCATCTTTACGAAATATACGAGTACAATGTTGACCTTAACATGCTGGAATACTTTCCCAAATTCACAAGCCAAGTGAAGAACATCGGCATATCGCCCCTTTTGGCATAACACTGTTCCTGGGCATTGACTCCTCTGTGGATCTCTTTTTCAAAGGCAAAAGATGTGAGGCAAAAAACTATAAAAAGGCCGATTTTGTCTTTATGGTTGCACAGATTATTTTATTTGTATAAGTGAAGCATAGATTTAATTTTTCAACGTAGCACAAAAATACATCAGAGCCAGTCAGAACCTTTACCTTTACCGATACCTAGCAAGTCTATTTTAAAAAGAGATCATTTGAATTTATTATGATTTATTATGAGACATTCCAAATCAGCAATGTGCATTGCAGTATCAAATTATTACCTGAACGCTCATGCAAAATACAACTTTGATTTTGTTAACATTTGAAGCTTATCCCAGGGTTTTTTGACCACCAAATAAAAATACAAATGTTGATGTTTCACGAACGTTTCGGCCACCTCCAGCGTTTTTCAAAGTATAAATAAAAAATGATAGTGACAATATATTCTGTTAACCTGTTATGTATGTGACTGGTCATTCAATTTTGTGCTGGTCTAAATGAAGGGTAAGATAATAGGTTCTTGGGAGGATGAGTATGTTAACAATAAACATTGTAATGTCAAATGGTACCCTTAACAGTCAATCGCGCAGTGTAACTTGCATTTCCCGCCCTATTCACTGCGACACAAGTGTAGTTTCCAGCGTGATGTTCGTCCACAGAATCGATACTAAGAACTGAGGTCTTCTTTCCGAAAGATACAACATTTACTGTAATATGTCCAGGAATATTTTGACCATTCAATAGCCAAGAAAATGTCATTGGCATGTCTCCTTTATTGACGTAACATTGTACTTGAACACTGTCACCCCGGTTTGCTTCTTCTTCGAATGAGAATGGCATTATGTGTGGTAAAACTGGAAATGTAAAGCTTATTATGAAATGCGTAGATATCTAGGTTTCTGAAAACCGTTTTACTAAAAGTATATAGTTTTTTTAGGTCTACATAGATGACGGATGTAGTACCTCATAGAAGAATAGTATAAAGACCTCTATTGGTGCTCAACAAGAACATGTAATGTAGACGTGAAACTTATCCTGTGGTTTTGATAGTGATGGGAATCCAAGATTGTCTAATCGCTAGATGAAACCACACGTATGTGACTTACTTAGGTAATGTAGTAAAAAGTAAGCGAAACATACATAGTTTCGTTTAAAGGCCAGACACAGATAACTAGGAATATGTAAGTTATAGATATCTCGTTTGCTTCCGCGGACTTTATTTGTTGTCTGATTGTAAGCTAAATTAATCGTATATTAATAGGGCATTCAGTTAACTGGAAAAATATTTGCAAAACGTTTGTTGACGGCATAGGATAGACGTAAAGGGTAAGGTTTATCTTACATCTAAATAAAGCATAACAGGTTTAATACTAGGTACCCTTGACGACCAACTGGGCAGTGTAGCTGGAATTCCCCGCACGATTTGAGGCTACACAACTATAGTTTCCAGCATGGTGCTCATTCGCTGAATCAATGCTCAACACAGACGTTTTCTTCCCAAAGGAAACAATATTCACTGTGACTTCCCCAGGTATACTTTCGTCATTTAAAAGCCAAGTAAACGTAATGGGCATATCACCCTTATTCACGTAGCAAGACACTTGGACGCTGTCGCCTCTGTTGACGTCTTCCTCGAAAGCAAATGGCGTAATGTGAGGTAGAACTGGAAGAAGGTGGTTTTGTTTTCAAGGTTGTTGTACAGCCTGTTTTCAAGGGAAATTGAAAGGATCCAAACGTGATCACATAGACCGATACATAGATAATTCTAAATGTCAACTGTTTAGCAGATATAATCTGAGAGAGAGAGTACAAATCATTCCGAAAGTGTAAAAATGTAGACAGAAAGGGAACTAATAGGTTGAACAATAGAGCATCACAAAGTCTATAACTCCAAGGTAACTGTTTTCAGTTTATCTTGAATTGATAAATTCCTCGTTTACAAACGTCCTAGAGTCCTTGAATAGAAAGATGCTATTTGAAGTTTTGGTTATGTGATACATTCCATATTAATTCAGGGTTTATTGGTTTGTCATTTTGTATGCCTATATCGTTTTCAAATCCAAATATAAGAGAATTTTCTGCATTACCGAAATTTTTTATTCATCTGTCTCATATGGTAAGAGGTAATGAAAAAAAAGGTAGCAAACGAAAAATTAAAAATAACAATGAAACTACGAAGCTTTTTACAGCAGGGTCACACAACAAACCAATTAAAATGTCTAATCAGCTACTGAAGTACCGTTGACCAATAACTCTGCATTCAAAGTAGCGCTTCCTCCTTTGTTAGAAGCTAAGCAGGTGTAAACACCAGCGTGCTCAGGTTGTACTGAATTTATCGTGAGAAGATTTGTCCTTTGTCCAATGGGAATCGTTGAAATTCCATCCCCATTTTTCACTAATCTTCCGTTTAATAACCAAGTTATGTCTAATGGAGTGTCGCCTTTACTAACATAGCAAGAGACTTGAACGCTATCGCCCATGTTCGCTTCTTCTATGAATTCGAAGGGCGTGATATGTGGGAGCACTAGGAGTAAATAGAAATAATTAAGTAGCAATAAATGCTAATGATTATAAGTTTTTATATTTTTACTAGCAATGAAAAACATTTTATGTCCAATGGTACTATGTAACTTATCTTTGTTATTGATTTACAACTCTTTCAAGTTATTTAAATGTCATATCATTCTAATATAACTAACTCCATATTGTTACGTAAATAAATATTGCATCAGTAGGCACTGAAAGGTGAAAGTTTGGTTTCAGTTGGGGAAGTTTCAGGTCCGTGCGAAGTATTTTAAATAAAAAGAAAACAGGTCACTACTATAAGCGTATGTCTTTGATTCTTTGATAAAAATACCATTAACATGCAGATCGGCTGAATATCTAGAAGCTCCAGCTTTATTCTCAGCAATGCACGTGTACGTTCCGACGTGATCTCCATTAACATTGTCAATAGTCAAAGCGCTAGACTTTTTACCAGCTTTTGTAATCTGAACACCTTCTAAATAGCCTATGCTGACATTATTGTGAAGCCAAGATAAGTTGACCGGTAAATCTCCCTTGTGGACCGTACATGTCAGAGAAACTGAATCCCCTGAATTCACTGTATCTTCACCAAAATCGAACGGTGTTATCAGAGGTGGCACTATAAAAATATGAAACTTTTGTTGTTATAGAGGTTCAAGGTAAGGATCTGAGGTGGTCTTAAAAAAGAGACTGAAAATACTCATAGATGCTATTAGAGAGATGGTTACAACTGATCTGTATACCATTAACTTTGAGCTCTGCAGAGTGTTTGGAGATTCCAGCCTTATTTTCCGCAATACAGGTATATGTTCCAATGTGTCCTTCATTTGTTGAGTCAATGGTGAGAGTGCTAGCCTTCTTACCAGCTTTTGTGATTTGCACACCTTCTAAATAACCTATGCTAACGTTATTGTGGAGCCAGGATAAGTTGATTGGTAGGTCTCCCTTGTGAACAGTGCAGGTTTTTTTTTTTTTTTTTTTTTTTTATTACTGGCCTTAGGAGTACTAGCCTATTCGGCCACGAGAGTGATATAAACATGCTCAAATTTATAATAAAACATATAGATCCGCTGCTAGCAATATTGTATAGATCCACATACATACAGGTAACAGGGCCCTACTCAAAACCAGGAAATTATAATAGAAGAACCAAGATTAGGGCGGAACGGGGATACACGTTTCACGTCAAGGTGCCGGTCATGACGACTTTAAAGACAGACAACACAGGCAACGGTTGGTAGGTTTAATAACAGATAGGCAAAAACACAGGTAAAAATAACTCAAGTCACACGACAATCTCACTGAATTCTAAATTCGTGTAACTCGTTAATTATATTTTCCGTCTGGCTCTCTTGAAGAAGTCCCATAGAGTTTTTCGAATTGATGAATTGTGAGTGCTTGAATACAGAAGGGAGGTTTGACTTTGAGGAAATGGAACACCAAGTGTAGCCAGCTCACTCATCATATAAACTGAAGCGGTTGAGTTGAATTTGCATTGGAACAACCAATGATTGATATCATCCCTATTCCCATCACAGCTACATGTATCCGATTCTTCGAGACCAAAGCGGTGCAGGTAAGCTTTTACTGTAGCATGTCCGACCAAACATCTGAAGTACATTGAGTGTACTCTCCTATTGACGTGGCTTCTGAACTCTATTGGGGAGTCAGGGAGGTTTGGATAAATTTTGCAGTATTGGTTATTATTGTTGGTACAAAAATTAGTCCATTCCATTTGCCAGCTCTTTTTCATATTAAGCTTCCTCGACGAGGCTATGTCAGTTTTAGTTACGTATTGTTTTTCTTCTCCGGACGAGGCGGCTACCTTAGCCAGTCGATCTGCCATTTCATTCCCCTCAATTCTTGCATGACCTTTTATCCATATAAATGCCACCGATTTCCTTAGTTGTCTTAATTGAGACTCCTTCTCCAGTATTGAGACGATGGTTTTGTTGTGGTATATGTGAAAAGGCGCATTTTGTAATGCGCGTATAGCTGATTGTGAGTCTGACATAATAATGAATTTTTGGTATGACGGACGATTGCAGACTACCCACTCAAGAGCCAGATCTATGGCTGCTAGCTCAGCGGTGAATATAGAGCAGATGGGATCCAGTTTATACTTTAGAGACACTTTCTCGTCTTCTATAAATACAGCACACCCTACGCCTTGCTCAGATTTGGATCCGTCTGTGTAGATTCTACAAGGAGTCACAAATTTTTGTAGTAGATCGTGGAGTAATTGCTTCATGATGGGAGGATTTTCAGCAACGGTGATGTATGTCTCTAAATTTGAGAATGAAATATTGTATTGAGACTTGAAAAATGGTATATTATCTCCTTCTATGTTGTACAGAGAGATGTTGGGGTATGCTTCAGCAAGTGTAGGAGAGTTTTTATTTTGCCACCATGGAAGCGTCAAGTTGAGGGTGGTTAGTTGAGCTACTTTTCTTGTGAGTGCAGTTTGGTCATTGAAGCTGCATTTTATAATGAACTTTTCTGCTAAGAATAACCTTCTCAAGTGTAATGGAGGTTCCTGACACTCTGCTAACAGAGTAGCTGTTGGAGTAGATTTCAGAGCCCCCAAGGCTAACCTTAGACCTTTATACTGTAGCCTATCGAGCTTGGCAAGGCGAGTCTTCGTAGCTGAACCATATAAGAAACATCCATAGTCTAATATCGATCTTGTATAGCATCTATAGAATAAGATATTTATTTTGGGATCAGCTCCCCATTTGTACCTGTTAACCGCTTTGAGGATGTTCAGGCTTTTTTCGCATTTGACAAGACAATTGTTTATTTGGTAATCCCAAGTCAGTTTGGTGTCCAGCGTGATACCCAAATAGGTGTAACTACTGTGAACCGGGATCGCAACGTTGGCCAATGGCAAGATGGTACATACAGGTAAACGGTGACGGGAAAAAAATACGAGGGCAGATTTTGAGGGGGATATGTCAAGACCCTGGTTGAAGAAATAATCGTTGCAACTATGCATTATAACGTTGAGCATATCAATGCATTGTTGATACACTTTATTCTTAACATAGAAGCAGAAGTCATCGGCGTATTGCAAGACACTGCATTCCAACCCCGCAGTATGTAGGTCCTGAGTATATATGTTGAAGAGAAGCGGGCTTATAACGGAACCTTGTGGGAGGCCCTTATGTACTGTTCTCGGGCCAACGACTTGATTGTTACATCGGATATAGACCTTCCTGTTAATGAATAGATTGATTAGGACACATGCGTAGCTCTGAGGTAAGTTCAGTCTAAGCAATTTATCAAAAAGTATCTCGGGTATGACATTGTCATAGGCACTGGAGATATCTACAAAGAGAGATGCTAGGTAGTTATTTTCAGAAAAGGTTATCTGTATATCGCTCACTAGATGCGCTACGCAATCGACAGCCCCTTGTCCTCTACGGAAGCCAAACTGTGATGTTGGGGGAGTGTTGTTGCTTTCCAACCACCATTCAAGCCTTGTCTTCAAGATCCTTTCAAACGTTTTCAAAAGGCAAGACATTAGAGAGATTAGTCTACAGGAATTGGGGTCGCTTGCTTTGGGAATCGGAATGATGAAAGCGGCTTTTAGGGCATCGCAGTTTTCTCCTAGGATAAGAATACGGTTATAGATATTGCATAGAAAGTCTACAGCGACCTGCGGTAAATTTTCTATCATAAGGTAGTTGATACCATCAATTCCTGGAGATGTCAGCTTGGAGACCTTAATGTTTGCTTTCAGCTCTTCTGACGTGATTTGTGACAAAAGGAAGTGCTGTTCACTATTACTCTGCGGAGAGAAAAAAGGACAGGAGGCATACGGTGGAGCTATCTTGTTTAGAAGTGCTTCTACACTAGATGCATCCTGTCTATGAAACTGTTTAGAGTTTTGAATTTTGTTGACCCGTTTCCAGATACTTGACGGGGAGGACTGTCTATTTAGGTTGCTGCAGAATTCAGCCCAACTAGATTTTACTTTTGTTCGGAATGACCGCTTACAGACGGCATCAGTTCTTTTATATTCCAAGTAGTTGGCAAAAGTGAGGTTCGACTTGTAGGTTTTAAAAGCGTTTTTCCTAACATTAACTAATGAAGAGCACTCGTCATCCCACCAGGGAGGAGATCTAGATTTGTTAGAGAAAGGTTTCAGAATTGTGCATGCTTGGTTGGCTGCGTTTGTGATTGAGCTTTGTAAAAAGACGATCATGTCATTAGTGTCCACAAATGTGGGCAAACCAGAAAAATACTTTATAATTTCTGTACGGTATAAGACCCAGTCAACATTTTTCATGGACCATTTGGAGGTCGGAGTTATGGGAGTGTTTTCTATACGTATATCATTGAAAGTAATCTTGATAGGAAAGTGATCGGAGCCGTACGTATCAGGAAGGGTAGACCAGGCGAAAGAAGAACATAGACCTGAAGATAGGATAGTTATGTCCACGACAGATTTAATTTGCCCTGGTGGGGTAATTCTTGTAGCTGAACCATCGTTGACCACTACAAAGTTTTGGAACGAGTCTAGTGCTTCTAGCACAGTATTACCTTCAGTAGAGCTTACTGGAGAACCCCACATACCATGATGGGCATTGAGATCCCCTCCTATGATACATTCGTACTTTATTTGTTTAAAGATATTTATGTAATCTGAAGCTAAGGCCTTAACATTTGGTGGTCTGTACATACTAACAACGGACAACTTTCTACCGTCATTGAACACGTTTATACCACATATCTCAATTTTTGAGTTGAAATTATTCGTGAAATTTATTGGTTCAAATTGAATAGATGTCGAGACAAAAATTGCAACCCCCCCGTAACCATCATCTCTATCTTTTCTAATAATATGAAATTTTTTAAAATTCGTATTAAACGACTTTTTGTACCAAGTCTCCGATACCAGGGCGATATCGAAGTCTTCTTCCACCTGTAGTTGTTCGAGTGAGTTTTTATTAGCACGCAAAGATCTGGCATTCCACTGAATGACCTTCAACCTTCTGGGAGCCATGAGCTAAGCGAAAACTTTTGCTAGGATGTTTTTAATTTTAGTGTCCAGTTCACTTTCACAGTTTGCTTGTGCTGTGTCATTAAAGGGTGTTTTTTCACTGATGTAATCTTGTAAACATTGCTGCAAGAGTTTTTTTATTGCGGCGGTTAGCTGGTTAATCAGCTGGTCGGACTCAGTGCAGGATTCCTGTGCTTCAGATTGGAAAACAGGCCCAGCACAAAATGAAGAATTATATTCTCTACGGATGGGAGCGAAATTAGGAGAAGTATCCCTGGTTTTTCTTTTTTTGGGAGGATTCGCAAAAGGGGATGGTTGAGGGCTTGAAGCTGCTTTGTGACTTGGTTGTTGAGTGGGAGAAGAAGTGGATTGAGATGAAGAGGTTAGAGGGGGAAATTCTATATCTGAATTTATTAGAGGGGCAAATCTATTTTTTTGAATAATACTAGTATAGCACGGATTATCAATGACTTTCTCAGCCTCTTTAAATGAAATATTCAGATTTGCCATAGCCTCCTTAGTTCTTAGCTGTTTTTTGTACTCAGGACAGTCACGAAATGTTGAATCATGACTGTTGTTTTTGCAGTAAACGCAGTATACGTTGCAAGCGTGATTATTATCTGTATCTGCAGAACCGCACTTTCTACACCTTCTACTACTCTTACATTGAGATGCTGAATGCCCGTATCGCAAGCATTGGAAGCATTGCATAACTGGGCTAATATACGTTTCAACCGGGCATCTGACTTTGTTTATGAAAACAAATTGTGGCAGCAGCTTACCTGCAAAAGTGACAACTACAGTTTGTGTAGGAACCCGGAGAGAAGATTCTCCATTATTAACGGTTCTAGTCATTCTGTACGCTTTTTTCACAAGGATGTTAGATTTTATGATATTAACTAGAGAATTTTCATTAATAGCCGTGTCAACACCTCGTATTAAACCACGCTTCTCTGTAAGGTGGTTGGGAATGTACGCTACAAGATTATTAGCTTCAAATAAGGAATCTTCTATGAGTTTATTGGCAGTATCACCCGAATCAAGTTCAATTTTTATGCGATTACGACCTACCGTGCTAATTTCTAAAATGTGTTTTTCATATTCAGCTAATGCTGCTAATTTTTCTCCCAGCTTCATTGGGTGGAGTCGACCCAAATTTAAGTCAAGGTGTTCTACAAATACAAAGTACGGGCCTGTGTCACTGTTTCTAAATCTGTTGTCCGTATTTTTTGGGCG